ACCATCACCAGCCAATGTTATTCTCTGCTCTGTGTCTTTGAAAAGTATGCCAGCTTCCAGCTGGTATTGCCCCGGGGCAATAAGAGCAGCAAGAGGAAATTTAGGGTCTGCTTTACTCAAGTATTCTAAAGCAAACGTTAGGTTCTTACAACCTTTAATTTTATTGACACATGAATCTAAGTCTGAACCGTTGTTGGATACTATGACAATGGTAAAGTCATCAGCTGTGTGGCCATTAACAGAGACTGGGACCAACAAAATGAAAAGAAAGTAAACCAAGAGTGCTTCTACGCGAAGTCCTTTTGAGTAGATTGGAATCTTCCCTATAGAAAGAAAGAAATGAATATGATTTAGATAGAAATGTGGCATCACCTGCTTTGAAATTAAACATGACTTCAAGTTCAACCAAACCAACTAAGAGACTGCCTACTGGGCAGTTCCGCAGTTGTGGCCACGCGCGACAAAAATAATCTAATAATAGATTTTAATCCCTGCCTTTTCATGGTTATTTATTAACTTAAAAGAGTAAACTGTAAAGAGAAATTAGATGATTTTAAATTTTAATCAAAAAATCCAATTGTTTTGGAACATCAATTGCAGCAAAATTAAAAAGAGTAGGAGAATAAGGGATTGAGACTGGAAACTGGTACCGGGAATCAATCATGAGGTTTTCAGTCTCAGACCCAAAACGATGATCCTGGCGATGACACTGACCAACAAACTGTATCACAGATAGCGGCACGCGACTCTCAGACTCAATACTTGGAGTGTACATGCGCAGGATTTTCTGAATCTAAATAGAAAAACAAATTAAAAACAACTGCTCAGTAGTAATATTGGTAGGACTTGGAGACCTGTTGCGTGTTTAAATTTGCACAAAATTCGCTGATACACCTAGCATCATCTTGAGTCTCTTTCTTCATCTGCAATAGTTTGGACGCCTGGACAATCGGTTGAAGAGTATCCAATACAGAAGTGAGTTTGTGTTCTCTTATCCATTCCTCAAGGACATTAAGATTGTACCTATGTTTGTTTGATAATCAAGTGACAATGTAAGTATGTAACCTTATTTGCATTCCTGACGTCCAATGGCACAAGTCTTTTCTAAAAAGAAGATAATTGAGCATAACTCCATTGATGAAATAAAAAATCTAAAAAAATAACAAAAACATCTCCATTTTAATAATATCATTATCTTGCCACTGACTTGCTTAAACATTTGTTCAATAAGGTACGTATCAACAAGACACAACTCCAATTGATTCAGCAAGTCGTTAAGAAACCTCTCTATATCACTGACTGTCACTATCACTGGCTTTACAATACCAAGCAATGTCCTACCCCAACCAACTGGCCTAGCACTAGTAAGACCCGGGATCGACTCATGCTCCAATAAACCAGGAACTACAAATACATATATTATTATAAATATCAATAATTCCTTTATCAACCTATAAGTGGCTCTAGTGTTCTCTCTAAATGATTTATTATGAGGTAGTAGATTGACGTAGCCTCGGCTGTAATGAAGTCATGATAGTCCGACAATTCAAAACTAGTCAGACCGGTAATGTCCTTGCAAGGATTGTAATAAACCTGTAGCGGCAGCAAAAATGATTCAACTAATGGAGGGATAACTCACAGGATCACCACTGTACTGTCTCATGGACTGAAGTAGGCAAGTGATATTACCCAACCAATGACATAATAGATTCAAGTTATCTTTGTAATGCTATGAGAAAACATTAATAAAATACTATTAGTAGTAGGAGTCTGGAATACCTTAGTCAAATATTGAAGTGATGTAACTGTACTTTCAATAAGTTGAGTTGTCATTGTATCAGATGAGCAGTGATCAGCATATCTCAAGCACATGAACAGTATATGGCCTTCAATGCAAGTACCTTCACTAAGGAAATGGTCAGGATCTATATACAAATAATTGAACATTTATTATTAATCAAATTCACCAGTAATAATAGTTTTCATAATTTGAGGAAGGTCACTCTCTTTCCACGACAACATTCCCAGCACGGGTTTGGGTCGGACTAGTCTCCGAATGGTTTTATTAGGTACTCCTCCTTTTAAAGATATGATAAAACACTAGTTTTTTGTTATGCTGCATACCCTTTTTCTTAGTGTGTGGGGATAAAGCAACAAGGGTCACGTCTTCTGTTAAATAATGAAGGCCCAATTCTTCTTTCAAATTCTAAAGACAAAAAAAATAATTATATTTATCAAAAATATTGTGGATAAAAAAATGGAGAATGCTCTCCTATTCATTTTTGGCAAAATTTGACCAAAATCCCTGTACTATATAGTAGAGGGGCTTTGACACAATTTTGGAGCAAATTTAAAAATTTGTAAAAAAACTATTTTTGATTGGAATATCAAAGGGCACCTTATTTTTACTCTACTTACAGTGTTCTCCTCTGTCAATCGACTGACTTCTTCTTGCAAGAATTTCAAGAGAGCATTGTTACTGATTGATTGCTGCGAGTAGAAGGACTGATTCTTAGTCACTAATGACTCATTCCATTCCCTCATTTCTGAAGGAAGTGAATAATACAGACTGGCATCATCAAACACTGGATTATTATTAATACTATCTATAGAGGGAGAGAGAGAGAGAAGAAGAACTAAAACTAAGTGTTGCTACTTGTAATACAATACCATCATGCTCTGGAACGTTTGTCTCTTGAAGTCTTTCACTTGCAAATGTCTTAACTCTTTTGATACTCTCGGACAAGGTCTCTTGTACAGAGACTTTCCTCTCAACTGAGCTTCTTTGCTGAGCTGATGAAGATGATGACAATCTCCTGGTGGATGGTGTGACTATAATAACTATACAAAACTAAGTTACATTCTATCAAACTCTCAATACCATCATTCTCATCTATTTCTTGCACTTGCTTATCAAGCTCATCAAGTTTCTCATTAAATAAAGTTACTTCCTATATGTCAAAGGACATGTACACACACAAACTAATAAGTATTTACTTACCAGTTGCCTTAGCTCTTCATTCTGTACAAGCTCTTCTTTAACTTGGGCTAGCTCCATCTCTAAAGCTTCTCTCTGTATTTTCTCATTTCTCAATTCTTCTGTCATGTCATTCAGCTCATTCTTAAGTGCAGTGCATTGTGACTCATATACTGATAGTTCCTCTAGCTCTTTACATTTCTTGTTAAGGTCGCTGTTCTTTGCTGCTAAACGAGCATTCTTGTCCTCCTCTAGTGTGAGCCGTTGCTGTAGTTCTATGATCTTGAGCTCAAGGCCTTTGTTTAGGTTTTGAAGATGATAGACAGAGCGAGCCTCGATCTAGCAAAAAACAAATTAATAACAGCTCTACTTCCATTCCACCACTCTCTATCAAGCTATACCTTGAGTTCTTTGAGTCTCCTAGTTGCAATCCATTGCCTCACACAGCACTGGACTCTAATGATACTCCTCTTCCTCCACAATGCTCTCTTATGGCCCTGCCTTCTCCTCCAGTAAGCTTGTAAAACAACTGCAGCTTTATTTTGCTTAAGAGCAAGAGCAAGCCTGCGAGCTGTGACAATGAAATCACATAAAATAAAGTACACTTTATTACTTAACTATAGATACCTTTCATTCCTCTATAAACTGATTGCATAAAGAGACTGATCTTTCTCAAGGAATGATATGCTCTTCTACTCTTGTACATTTTATACATTGACTGTATCTTAGTAGCAGCACGACTTTCTCTTATAGCTTGAGCCCTCCTGCAACAAGATGAATAGAATCATTTATTGCATTTCTTTTACCTTCTGACAATAAGTCCTCTTATACGAGACTGGAGTCCTCTCACCATCTTGCACACTTTCAAATATCTTCGTCTCTCTCTCCACATTCTTACGTTTCTCTGTATCAGGAGACAGGACTCATGCAGTAGTGCTGATCTAAGACTCTCGAGATAAGCAACCTATGCACAGTTAGTAACACAAACAAAGTTACATAATAACCAAATGTATTATTATGTATACCTGCCCAGCTCTGAAGAAAACCTTGTTTGTACCAACACGATACTTATCGATATCCTTGAGGACAAAAAGAGAAGCATTAAATCAATAAAACAGGTGCTAAAGCATACGTTAATGTGTTGTTTCAAAATGACTTGACAAAGTTTGACTTGGTCTCTCTCCAAGTTTCCTTTATTTATAAATTTAAGCTGTAGCTTTGGTAGCAGCATCCAGTAGCGATCGATGAACTCCTTATAAAAATACCTTGAGGGGAAACCCATTGCACTAATCCTAATAGTTTCTATAATACCGCAGGCTCTTAACTGCTCAACTACACGGAGTCTGTTAAAACTGTATATTAATAATAATAATAATAATTTAGAATTTGGATTTGTACCTGAATGGAGTTTTAGTGTCATTTGGTTTTATGCAGCGAATGTAATGGGGAGTGGTCAAATTGAGAGTACCCATCAGTGTTGAAAGACTATCTTTAAACTACATGTATGAATTAATCTTGCTAATATATATAATTATAATAATGACAGTATTTACCATACTGCCTACATCGACTTTCCTTCCTTCTTTAGTAGCAATAGGAAACAATCCTGACACAAAACCATTCTACATCATAACAAAAAAGCCCCACACTCAATAAAAGCTTATACAATATTGCTCCATTACTTGTGATGACTGCAATAACTTGAGGTGCTCACGAGACAGCAAGTCAGTATTTTTTGAAATAAAACCCTGAGTCTCGTACAGAACAGTGCTAGCATAATGACGAACACCAAACGAAGTCCTTGAAGTACGAGGTTTTGTGAAATGACTATGACCCTTCTTTAATATCTGCTCGTATAGCTTATCAATGAGCATGGAGTCACTGCTATTCGGCATCTGTAGGTCACATGAGATTTACATGATGGGGACAAGGTGACATTACCTTGCATGTTTCGTTGAGGAGGTCCAGTATACCTAGTTTACCTTCGATTAGGTCTATGCAAGGCTGATTGTCATAGTAATCAATGAATGACCAGGTAATGCCTTCAGACATGTATTCCTGCTGCTCTAGTTTAAAGACGTGCTGAAAAAGTAATAAAAAGAAATAATAATTATGGCATCATTAGTACTCATTATTAATTGGAATTCACTCAAACTTTCTCTGCATAGCATAAGAGGCTAGTGGCACAGCAAAAAATACATGACTCAAATGCCTTTTAACATAACATAACTAAAGGCAATGCTATTGGCATATGAAAATTTTAAGGATATTTTCAAAGCCCAAAGATCATGAGTTTCATAATTGCGTGAAGTGTTCCGTACTATGTTGAATTGTTGCTGGAGTTTCTCGTTGGCATAGTTAATGCAAAACTGCTCAAACGAATTGTGACGGAAAATCTCAAAGCCATAAATATCTAAAACCCCAATGAAAGACTCAGAGTGAGTGTGAGAGCCAGTGAGACTCTGATTGATCCTTTCTACAATCCACTCAAAGAGATGATCATACAAATGGCTAGAGAGACTGTCCCGACTGCTAATAGCCTAATAAAGAATAATGAAGAATAAAATGGTGTTGATTAGAGTGACATTTTGACTATTAAAAAGATCAATTGCAATACCTGTGACACTGTTAATGGTTTCACAAGCACTTCATGAGTTGTGATGATCTGTCTATTGCAAAGCCACTGACTCAGAGATGAAGAGGGGACATTCAATAGAGAAGAGCACTGCTTTAAACTGTCTTGATACTCATTTACATAGGAGCTATCCTCATCCTTTTGCTCAATGCCCACATTGCCAAGGTGAAGGATTGCTGCCAGGAGACTAAATATCTGTGACTTTTGTTGATCTTGGAATCCTAACTGACCCAACCCACTAGCAAAAACATCAAACATGGAACTGTCATCCACCCCTTGTATTAGAGGTGAACCACCTTGACTAGTGTAATGAAAATGATCAGGCAAGCCTAATAGAAATGTAATAATAATAACGAGGCCAGTGCACAATATTCGAGTCTACCTAGGTTTAATTGCTGAAATTGAGGCTCATCTCTCTTTGCTAGTAACTGATAGAATATGTGATAGTTTCTCTCTCCAGTTGCCTGTGTCACCACTCTTGTCTTCTCCAGTAGGTAAGTTCTCAGTTGAGCTCTCTGGACTCTAAACTTCCCGTCAAAGCCAATCTCAATATACTTCCCAAATCTACTGCTGTTGTCATTACGGGTTGTCTTAGCATTGCCGACAGCCTTCGGACATAAAGAAGTGAGAGAGAGAGAGAGAGAGAGAGAGAATCGATGATCGAAGAAGAGAAGATAGTAAACAATAACATAATCGCTTGCCAATATACAACATAATGATGAAGAGTGCAGTGTGACTGCCAAGAGATTATGAACGTACATATTATATTTACTATATACCTCTAGTATATTGTTAGATGCCAGGACTTTACTCTCTATGTTGGCATTGTTATTCTCTCCACTGACCGAAGCAAAGTATTGCAAAATGTACTTTGCATTGACCGTCTTTCCAGCTCCACTCTCACCACTTACAATTATAGACTGATTTCCATCACCTCTGAAAGATTAATGTAATTATTATTCTTTATAACCAAAAATTAATTTACTGTTTTAATTTGTGATAAGCTTCTTGAGCAACAGCAAAAACATGAGGATCCATGTCCCTCGGGTCGCTGGTGCTATACGCTAGTCTTATCCAATCACCATATATAGAAAGGGGTTGGTATGGATTGATAGCAACCAGAACAATACCTTATGAGAAAGAAATGAATGAGAAGATACAGTAACATGAATAAAATTTAATTATTTTATCTTTTTGTGTGATTTTTGAATGCATCCCTCACCACAGTAGGTGTATATCATGGCTGACTGCTCGTACCTCAGCTGTAGGCTGTGGAGGACGGCTGGCTCGTGTAGGTAGCTGAGTGTGGTCAGATCGTTAGCTCCCAACAATATCTCCGGATTGCATATGAATGGCGGGTCCTCGAGAGAAATACAGGACTCTTCTCCATCGCACGCAACTATTATACAGTTCGAGGCCTTGTCTAAACGAAGTACCACTCCACTGGACCATACTTTACTCGAGTGAGGGATCCACACTCTTGCTCCTTTCTCAACCATTCTCACCGCCCTATTGGTAGCATCACGTGATCAGAGCAGCCCACGTTTGTACACGTGGTCAAAAGCATTTATTATTTAGAAATAGTCCTATTTGTTCTTTTCTTTGCCTGTCGATAGATGCTGATGGCCTTTTCTCTCTCTTCTTGAATATCTTTCTGCTTTTTCAAAGGAATGGCTACCTTTGTTGCTGCTTTTTTCTTTTTATTCTACAAAACAGTAACATAGACTAAACCAAACTGAAGGAATACCTTTGGAGCTGGAGTAAGACTTGGAGGTGCTTTAGCAACTTCCCCAAACTTAATGCAATCTACAAACAATAGACATCATCATATACAATCATTGTTTCCTACCTTGAAGATCCTCAAAATCTAGTCCTTCTGTGTCATCAATTCTAATGCCTTTCTTTCTAAGCTGAGATTTCAATTTCCGTCGCTTCAGATACCTAGCCAATGCATCAGAGATAAAAAATTCATAAAAAATCTAAATCTGATCAAAATGAGCTCAAACTTTCTACGCAATATAAGTACATGTATATACATCAGATAAAATTATAAAAATGGAGAATTCTCTGCTTTTCATTTTTGGTAAAATTTGGCCAAAATCCCTGTACTATAGTACAGGGACTTTGGCCCGATTTTGGAGTAAATTAGAAAATTCGTAAAAAATCTAAACTTGATTGAAATGAGCTTAAACTTTCTACGCAACATAAGTACATGTATATGCATCAGAAAATAATATTAAAATGGAGAATTCTCTACTTTTCATTTTTGGTGAAATTTGGCCAAAATCCCTGTACTATATAGTACAGGGACTTTTGTCCAATTTTGGAACAACTTTAAAAATTTATTTTGCTGACAAGGAGCTAAGCATTACTGTGGGAAACTCTGATAGTACACATATGTATCTTACTCCTTTCTCTTGGTACTTGTTGAAGCAACTTTCTTATGAGCAGAGATTAATCTTTTGTTTGCCTCTTCATTGATTCGTAGTAAATATTGCTCTGTCCCCTCCCCTGCCATTCTTTTGTATTTTAAAGGGTCTTCATCTTCTTTGTCATCATCTCTGGGAGACTCTATCTTCTCGATAACCTTTCGCCTTTTAGACTGTTTCCCATCACCAGTCTTAACATTTTTACTCTCTTTTTCATCTTCATTTGATGGTATTTCCCTCTTCTTTGGTGGTTGACTGTACAATAGAAAGTCACGAAAACTCCTTGATAACGATTGAGACTTTTCACCTTTCTTTGGTGGCAAATTGAAGCCCCTGAATTTTAAAATTAAAATTAGTTTCAAAAGTACCCCCTCACTTGTCTAAATCTTTCTTAGGTCCTTTGTAAAATGGATCACAAGACTTCACCTTCCTTACCCTACCCATGATGGAAGCACGTGGGTAGGTGTGGCTGCAGAATACGATGTGTCACTCAAGGATAATTTTAGGATATCCGGGATTTTAAAGACATGGTGTTATGAACATTCTTGTTTCTGGCTGCAGAAGGATATTTGCTGTTAGATTCTACTGCATTAAGACTCCACTACCACCTCCACCGACCACCTGTTGTATGAGTGGATGTCAGAATTGTGTATGGATAAAATACGCCCAGGAAATATTGTCCATTTATAAAGACACAGAGAAAGTGAGCAAGGAAGTACTGGATAATATCACTGACCCGAGTCTTAGAGCATTCCTACAAATAGAACTGAAACTGAAACTTAAAAATGACTCCGACTAAGACAGCACCGAATGATAGCACAAAGACAAAGAAGAGGGGGAAGAGAGGAGGAAGGAAAGGGAGTCGAAGTGGAAAGGTCAAAAAGAAGAAGGCTGGTGGTGGTGGTAAAGCCACACCTCCTGTTCCGGAAGAAATAAAGTCAGAAATTGCACTGAAGTATCTTCGTCAGTGGTCGACTGATAGGGACAGCTGGATGTTTAAAAAGAAACTGCAATTCTGGCTGATAAAGAATATTTATAATAAAGAGAAGGTATTACTAACACTCTTGATCATATTACATTAAGTGCTGGTTGTAGCAATGCGTAATTTTCCATTTTCTGTTTAGATCGGAAAAGCAGATTTTAAGATACTCCTTCAGTATTTGGAGGGTCTTCAAGGTTCTCATAGAGCTCGTTTGACTCAAGAGGCTGAAGAGATTGTGAAGAAGTTTACCAGCAGCAAAGATGACAAAACCAAGGATAGTACTCTTGATGAAACCAAGGACAGAAAGCAGTGCAAAAGAGCTCAGAGAATAATCAAACATTTATCATGAAATCACATCCTTTTTCTTAAATAGTTATATAATTATTATTTAAAAATAAACCTGTGGCACAAAAATTGCAATTATAATAATAGTTATACAAAATGTAAGCATTAACTCAAAATGGCTTAGACGTTCTCGGAGGGAATAAATGAAACACAATAATTGTAATAATAATAATTAGCAAATAATATATTATATATAAATATTAAAATGGCTCAGATGTCTTTGGAGGGAATAATGCTAAATCCAGGACCATCATAACAACACTAATGCCTGCCCAGCCCAAAACAATCACCATGAAGACGACATGGCTCAACGGAGTACTGTAAGGATTCTTATACTTCCCAAAACTTTTCTTAAATTTATAATGAGCAAAAAGGACAAGGGTAGCCGGGATAACATACTGGACTCCGACACCAGGAAACGAGCCGGTTATAGAGACAAGTATATCGATCTGCTGCGTAGCATACGCTATCACAATAGGAGGGGTCAGTGCTAGTACTGGAAACAAGAAACGGTCAATAACAAAAGGGAACTTTATAGACTTGTCAGCTTCAAGTGGCTCCTTTCCTAGTAATCCTCTTATTTGAGGCTCAGAGAGGAGTAGCTTCATAAGACACTTGAGGTTTTCACGAAGCGTGACAGAGATAATGGGGAAACTAGCGCTAAGAGTGAAGACAGGGAACAGCGCCAGGTATATACCAAATACCAGCTTCCAGTAAGGATCACCCGGATTAAAGAAATCAAGAGAATAGAGGGGTTTCATATCCTCGGGACGAAAAGCAAAGACTCCACTGAACACCAGGAGGTAATAGAAGACAAGGATGATAGTAAAATCACTAAATAATATACGATAGATGTATTTCTTTGATGACATAGGAGTGACCATGCCAGGGAGGGAGTGGTGACACATGAAGGAGTACACGCTGACTCCAAAAAGATTCGGGAGTACTTTAAAATCGGCAGTTTTTGGAGAAGAGTGATGTCCTTGGCCAATCCTCACAAAAGCCAGTGATATCATCAACATGAAAGCTATTATGAAAAAGACAAATTATAATTGTAACTGACGCTATATCAATAATTATGCACAAGGCAAAAGTAATTAAATGTCATTGGTAATAAGACACATGTACAACATTTCGTTTTCTTGTTGGCATAAGAACATCCAACATACACACACGAAGCATTACTGTAACAAACCATATCAAATCAAACTATCACATCATTAATTGGCTGATGTTTCCAATAGGGTATAAATCGTTACCTAAATATCTTAGAATAGTTGTAGTGATTTGCATAAGCTTGGTCTTTGACATATTAAAGAAAGTGAATGGGCCAATACAGAGTATGAAAACCAACTAAAAGACAAAGACAGAGGATTACAACAGCTGCTAATAAAACATGACTACCTCACTCACCAAAAAAATATAATAAATCTCTATCTTGTTTAAACCAGGAAAGCAAGCATCAGAATAAGTATCAGAATAAGCATCAGTTCCATTTTCAGTTTCATAGTCCCTGGTACCATTACTTGTATTATGATAATGAGAATACATATCACTATAAGAATAAACAATAGAGTGTTTATGGTCACATAAGTATGACACATTGTTGAAAATTATGATTAACTTACCAAACAACACGAGTGACAGAGGCTGGAGCTATGACAGCATAAACAGATAAATCACCACACAAGTACAGGCATATGCACAAGTAGTATAAGGCGACGCCCACTAAAATAAACTGCTAGTACAAATTTACAGAGTCAAAAGGAATCTTACCTTTTGGATAAAATAAGGTAGCCATTGAACCCTGAAATTAAAATTTATATACACGTAATAATTGTGAGATAGTACTGCTTACCAGCTCATACTTAGTGTCAATTTCAAAGTCCTCATCTATGGGAGCAAGATGTAATATTTCTGAAGTTGAGTATTTGTAGCAGTAGCAGTAAAATATTATGATAGCAGCATTACATAGGTAGCAGCAGATAGAATGTATATATAACAGCAGGAGAATGATGATGTAAATGCACGTGGTACATTTATATAGAAAAAAGTGAGGAAGGTTATATGAACATGGGTTAGTTTGAAATGATACAACAGTTTTAAAGTTAATGAAGACACACATCCATGTCATTTCCACATATGAACAACAGTAACAGACTTAAGTATCTACATTACAAACTGCACACCATAAATTAGTAAAGCTCATTAAGAAAACAAAAGTTTAAGTCTTTATAACACAACCCACACACACCACACACACACACACAATAATTTGGGGCTGCCAACCTGAATCAGAGGATGGTTGCATTAAGGGAGTAACCTCAGTTATATTGACTTGCTCTTCTTTCTTGTCAGGATCATAAACTCCGGACACATCAACACAATATGGCGGTATTGTGCTGACCGACTAAAAGAAAGATGGAAGTGAAATTAAAATCATTACATTTCAAAACATGATACAATATACTATTCATTTACTTCTTCTGTACTCGAGTGTGAAAGCGAATCACCATTATCCTTCGAAAGAGAAGGCGACCGTCTCTTCAATGAATAATTCAGCGGTTTCCTCGATTGCGCTGTCATATCCTTCACTCTCTCTCTTCTCTTACTCATTCTCTCATAAGCATTAGCAGCAGCCATACACTCTATGACATAACTAGCACTGATGTAGCTGTAGGAATGGAAAGAATACAAATAGACTGAGAGATTCTAAGTTTTCCCTTACCTCATTGCACACAGAATGAGGAGAAGTATGGTACCTAATGCTAGACCAGCTTTGTTAAAGGCCTGAGGTAAAGCTAAAACGCCTGCACCGACAATAAGGTTGAAGATATAAGCGAAAGCAATCTAAAGGAAAAGACTGGATAGAAAGAGTTGAAGTTTTTATTTACTGGCGAGGAGTAGGTGCCCATTTTCTTTTCACTTCTGCCTTCACCTTTCTCTGCCATTTCTGCGGATTTAGATCTATTAATAACCAGCAGTCAATAAATTCATATTAAATAATAAACTAATAGAGCATGCGCATAAACATAATCTGCCAACCATAGTTACCAAGCAACTGCAAAACAATATGGCTGAAGGTAGAAAAATTTAGTTTGATATTGTTGTATTAATTATTATTACAGAATCTGCTACAAGTTACTTAGAGAGAGAAATATTTCCAGTGCTACTGCCGGGATTAGAGGAAATGCTCCATGTTGCATCAACAACAGAAGTGAGAAAAATTATAATGTGATTAACACAATGATTTCTGGCTCGATTTCTGGTACAGAAACGCAAGAGATTCAACTCGTTAGATTACTTAGTGGAGTACCTGTACAAGCACAATCCAAGAAAAGATGGTCGAGATGAGATAACGCTTGCTAAAATTCCTTTTGTCGAGGAAGAATGGAAAAAGAAGTCAGTTATAATCCATTATATTTGGCACATCATAATCCTTTTCTTCCAGTCCAAGGCCACCACTGCCTCCCTCAGCTACACTAAGTGAAGATGAAGCACGACTGATCATACAAGCAGCATACAGAGGATATAGAGTAAGAATGACTTCGATAATGGGAATGAATTGTAAGTGTATTTTCAGACAAGGTGTAGAGAAGATGTACAGCTGTTTAGAGAGTGGCAAAAAGGACGTAGAAAAGTATGCAAAATGAGACAAAAATCAAGTTTTAATCATCATAATTTTTATCTTCATAAGGAGATAAATGCAGTGAAAGTGATACAAAGAGAATGGAGAAGACACAGGGAGGAAAAAGATGACAGTAAAACAAGTGAAATGAATATGAACCAAGAAAATGAGAACGTTTAACTGAATAATAGAGATTCCTCTAAATTTTTAAAATCATCAGTTTGATAGTAACTCAGAAGCTTGCTTGCACATCATAGAAAAATGAATCCTCTTTGAAATGGAAGCTCCAACTCTTCTAGTGCTAGCAATCACTCCTGCACCTCGTCTGACCTACAATTAGTACACATGCACTGTTTGCCATGGGCAGCAACACATTTCCTAATACCTGTATGTCTTCTAAAAGTGATTCAGCCTCTTTTTGTGAACTACAGTTACCATAAGCCTATTAATAATAATAGAAATTAAATAGAGTTTAAGTTTATATCCTGCCTTTAAGAGATGTGATGGTGAAGGATACTTGGTAATGATTGCCGAAGCAACTGGAGTTGATACTCCAGGATACTGTAATAACTGATGCTGCCAAATCAGTCCAGTCTTATCGCCTGCTTCCTTCAAAGCCTATAAATGCATTAGTTTGATGATAAGAGAGAAATTAAAATTTGCTGTGGCATACTTTTCTTGTTGCCCCGGGTCCTAAATCTCCATGAAACGAAAAAGAATCCTCCTTCCTATGCAACCTCAAAAATAGAACATTAATAATATTTAATACTTGAATGGTCTGTCAGCTAGTGCCTTTGTATAAGTGATAATGATATCAGCAACCAGTTCAGGAGAATTACATAACCTTACACTGTACCCTAATACAACAAATATAAGATGATAAGTCACAATGCACATTCCGCTACCTGTTTCAAGTTGTAGTCCTACCATAACATTCTCACAATCAAAGTATGATAGTACTTCTCCTGAATTTAAATGGGCAGCTTTATTTTTACGGACAGCTGCTCTAAAAATTCTATCCCTTTGCGTCTTTTGGGCTCTAAATAATTTTAAAGCATTAAGGCATATAATACATAATAATAATTATTATACCTCAGTGCTGCATCAATGTTGTTGACAAGGATGACAACATTCTTTGGATCACGTCCTTGAGCAAACCTTTGCATAAACTGCAATAAAGTTTCATCATCAGATTGACTGGTTTGATCCTATAAAAATACATAAAATTTAGCATCAGTCACAATCAAGATAGCTTTTGATTACCATTAATTTTGAGGATGCAACAAGCTTTAGAAAATGAGTCCCTGACTCTATTATACACAAGAAATCTTCATCAATTTCCTGAACATTCTCGATGACCTAAAAATGAATTATTGCTATCCTCAAAATTTTGGTATAGTGCTCAGGTTCTTGCCAGCTCAGATTTAGCTTGCTCATTAGAGCTTTGTAGAAAACCCTGATCCATGTTATTTTGCCAAAAATGAAAAGTAGAGAATTCTTAATTTCTATAATATTTTCTGGTACATATACATGTACTTATGTTGTGTAGAAAGTTTGAGCTGATTCCAATCAAGTTTGGATTTTTTATGATTTTTTAAAGTTGTTCCAAAATCGGACAAAAGTCCCTGTACTATAGTACAGGGATTTTTGTCAAATTTTGTCAAAAATGAAAAGTAGAGAATTCTTAATTTTTATAATATTTTCTGATGCATATACATGTACTTATGTTGCGTGGAAAGTTTGAGCTCATTCTGATCAAGTTTGGATTTTTTATGAATTTTTTAAGTTGCTTCAAAATTGGGACAAAGTCCCTGTACTATAGTACAGGGATTTTGGTCAAATTTCACAAAAAATGAAAAGTAGAAATTTCTCCATTTTTATATTTTTTTCTGATACATATACATGTTCTTATGTTGTGTAGAAACTTTGAGCTCATTCCAATCAAAATTAGATTTTTTACAGATTTTTAAAAGTTACTCCAAAAACCATTCACTATTGTAGTGCTTTTTGGCTCATGTCTGTAGTATGCTGTTTAGCTGACTTAGCATGCTTTGTGGGAAACCCAGCTTACAAGGTGTGAATTAAATTACTATAATAAGATATAGGTTTGCTCTCTCTCTCTCTCTCACTCACTTTAGCTAGTTCTTGATCCAAACATCTTGTTGTGCTTTTTCTCTTCCACATCACACAGTGCTGGGGAAGAGACGGCTCAACTTTATATTGCACTTCTAACTCTTCCAGCTGCTCTAATAATGACTTCATCAGTTTGGGACATTCTGTTATGCTAGTCTCCAACTGTACGATCATTTGCTTGACTCTATGACCAGGTCTGGTTTCTTTCCTACCCTCCGTTTCAGCCTAAAAATAATTCTAGTAGCACAAAAAGTAACAACTTGCATAATTTTGCTAAAATTTTACCACGAATCATTTAAATTTGCAAAAAAATCTTTAAGCTATATATACGGAAGAAACTTGCCTGTGATACCATCTTGTGTACCCTTTTCTCATGCTCCTTCTCTGCCTTCTTCCTCTCCCTCTCCAACCTCCGTGCCTCCTTCTCCTTCTCAATCCTACGCTTCTTTGCAACTTTTGGATCCAGCTCCAACTCTTCTTCCTCAGACACACTTTGACTCTCAGGCTCTGCACACTTTGCTACATCAGGAGGCGAATCAAGTTCAATGACATTTGAAGTACTACTAAATTCAGTAGATCTTTTATTATTCTTATTTCTAGTGGCTGTGCTATCCCGTACAGCTCCTTTATTCTTTGAGGAGGAGGGTCTTGTAGTCTTCCTTTTTAATATAGAGCTGAAAGAGGGCAGCTCCTCGTCAGAGCTGGTTTTTTCAGTATCAGAAGAAATTAAAATACATTCAGCCATATGACACGTGTAGCCACGCCTTTTCAACTCAGCCACACCCATTTTAAATCTGCTACAGCTGCAATGCATAATGATTGAATAAAGTAAAAGTATTATTAATGGAAAGGGCATGGCTTAATCTGGAATCAATTAATTCCATTATATAGGTGATAGCCTATAGATCTATGTAGATTTTTCAAGATGGTACAAGTTCAAAATTGAAGAATCGAATACCTCAGAATCACCCATCTCTAGATATTACATAATGATAATACATAGGCTATTAACCACTAATAATAATAATAATAATAACTATTTCTGTTTGACTTATATTTGCACTTGACTTAATGAAAAGAGAGCCATCCTAAATAAAATAACGAAAAGATAAAACCGTTTCATTTCTTTCTTGATACCTTCCGATCTATACTTGCGATGAGCTTTCATATAGGCCTCAACATGTTCACGACATCTTTGAAGATGATTGACCTCTTCTCTCCTCTGGCATTCTTTGACTCTTTCTCTCAAAATCCTTACCACTTCCAAGTCAATAGCCCTATGTGGTGGTAGAGGTCATAAAAATTTAAAACTTTACTCACCTGTCTCTTGCAACTTGGTCTCTAGCTTTCTGTTTACCCAAAAAATCCCCGGGCTCGACTTCGTCAAGACCTGGAACGCGAGGATATTCTCTTGGCCACTTAGACGCCATTTTGAAAACAAAAACCAAGCCACGCCCTTTCCTGCAGCCTCCAGCCCCACCCTTTACTGCACTGCGCATGCACCTAATAGATTCTCCTCGTGTTATCCTCTTTCTTTCTTTCTTGAATTAGAGAAAATGGTGAGTACTATAATCCCTTTCCATCTTCTCCTTCCCCATGCATTAAATTCATTCTGTCCCTTTTTCAGTCTCATAGAAAGTTTTCTGCTCCAAGGCACGGTTCTTTGGGTTTCCTCCCTAGAAAGAGATGCAAGAGGCACCGTGGGAAAGTCAAGAGCTTCCCAAAGGACGATCCCAGCAAGCCCTGTCACCTTACAGCCTACATGGGCTACAAGGCAGGAATGACCCACACTGTACGTGAAGTGAACCGCCCCGGATCAAGTGAGTTGTAATATTATTGTAGCACTTGCTTTTCAGTAATAAATAATTTGTAATGTTTTTGATTATGCATATCAGTGCAATGAAGGATGCAGTGTTAATTATGCTATCCCATAGAGAGTCATAAGAATGAAGTGGTAGAGGCTGTCACTATTATCGAGACTCCTCCCATGGTCTGTGTGGGTGTGGTTGGATACATTGAGACTCCTCGTGGCTTAAGGCAATTAAAGACGATTTTTGCTCAGCACATCACTGAGGACTGCAAGCGTCGCTTCTACAAGAACTGGTATGTGGTTGTCGTCCTCTTGTTACAAATGGTTTTTGAAACTGTGCGACTTGCTGATTAATCAAAACAGCTTACACTACTCTCTCGCTGTTTGATTGGTCGATGGTTATCATGGAAACTCCTCTCACATTTAGCTGATGAGTTTCCTACTTCTCTCTTTCTTAAGGTATCGTTCTAAGAAAACCGCGTACACAAAAGCAGCCAAACGCTGGGCAGACGAGGCTGGGAAAGAGGCCATTAAGCAAGACTTTGAGAAGATGAAGAAGTACTGCAAGATAATCCGTGTCCTTTGTCACACCCAGGTAAAACAAAATGGCTGTCATTCTTTATTATTATTTGATCAATAGTTGAGTAAGATTAAGAGTCTGAAGCAAAAGAAGTCACATTTAATGGAGATACAAGTTAATGGTGGAACAATTGCTGATAAAGTAACAATTTAGCAAGGGTAAATCTAACATCATAATCTCTGCCACTCTTAGGTTGAATGGGCTAAGGAACATTTAGAGAAGGAGATCCCAGTAAGTGATGTATTCGAACAGAACGAGGTCCTTGATGTGATTGGAGTTACAAAAGGAAAAGGATTTAAAGGTACCAAGCACAATCATGTCAATGTTCTTATTGGCACCTTTGTTAAAAGGTGTCACGTCTCGTTGGCATACAAAGAAGCTTCCTCGTAAGACTCACAAGGGACTGAGGAAGGTTGCTTGCATTGGGGCGTGGCATCCCAGTCGTGTGCAGTACTCTGTGGCTCGTGCTGGACAGAAAGGATACCATCACAGGACAGAAATGAATAAGAAGATTTATAGGATTGGGAGCGCAACAGAAGAAAATAATGGAGGGACCAAGTCTGATTTGACTAAGAAGAGAATCACTCCAATGGTGAGAGAGAAAACAGACGAATTGTTTATAAGATTGTAGAGTAGTATTACTAGTATTGTCTTTTCATAGGGAGGTTTTCCACATTATGGAGTGGTCAATAATGATTTCTTGATGGTCAAAGGTTGTGTGATGGGACCCAAGAAACGTGTCATTACACTTAGGAAGGTAAGTGGCAAAATTAATGGTCCTTTTTTAATGTCATTCTTTTCTCCTAATAGTCTCTCTTGGTCAACTTTAAGAGGAAGGATAGGGAAGAAATTGATTTGAAGTTTATCGATACTTCTTCTAAATTTGGTCATGGTCGCTTCCAGACTGCACAAGAAAAAGCAAACTTCATGGTAAATTTAATACTATCCTCTAATTGTCTTCACTTTTCTTCTTAATAGGGTAAGCTTAAGAAGGATATAGAGAGGGAAAAAGAAGGCCTTGCTGCAGCTGCTGATTAAAAGACTTTGATTAATTACTTAATTGATTCGTTTTTCTTGTATAAAGAATCGATCTATTTGAAAGTGATCAGAATCTTAATAAAATTAAAAATAATCAAATTATAATTAACGATAATACAAAACGACAGAATTTTTCCTCCTTATTAAAAGTCTTTATTTACAATAAACAGTTTCACAGTGGTCTCGTACCAAATTGGGGGATGGAAATTCCTTGAAAGGAGAAAGTAAAAATTAAATACTCATTGCAACTGATAAACTACATGTACTTTCACCAAATATGACTAAGAGAGAATCCTCCATTTTATATTAGTAACATGCAGTGACCATAAGCACGCATTTACCTGGAATAAACCACGCCCCATATATAAGTGTGAAACCACGCTTCAGTGCTGGCACTTGACTACAAAATAACATAAATTTCATTTTTAATAATTAATTGAGAACCTGATATTTTCTAATAATGATCGGGTGTGGGACAGGAAGCAAACCAACCAGTGTACCGTTCTTCAAATACTCCAGGATCTCCTTTTCAGTTTTTATGTCGCTAAGAGATTTGAATTAAAATAGTTCCTAGCTTGTGGCATTAATTAGAACATACTTATCAGTGCAAAGTTTCTCGACTTGAGGTACTAAAACCTGAAGCAAACGAAGGACAGTGTGTAGGGGGAGTTTATCCTTCCATGATTTAACCTAAAAAGTATACAATAATAAAATTAATATTTTAATCTACATGTATGAGAGGACACCCTATTTCTCTTCTCAAAAACTCATTCTCCAGTACTCATTCCCATACTGCCCACATACTCCATACCCATTCTGGTGTTGGTTTGAAGTCACTTGGGCTGGTAGGCTCCATCAAGTGCCTGTTACCTCTAGCTAGACTATCTCTCATTGGCAGTAATGGCTTGGGCCTAAGAGCTTTCTTATTCCCAGTAGCCCCAGCGCCCGAGACTTTAACCGGGAGGTCGTAAGATGAAGTAAAAGTGACTTGACTATCAAAGATTAACAGAATCATGTGATATAACCACACACAACGCTAGTATTACTTTGCTGGATTCGGCGCCACTTCAGTCGTGGGTGTGTTTGGCTCTGACGTAGGAGGACGATCATACTCAGTCTCTTCCATAGTAACCTAGGGGAAGAAGGATGGTCTTATCTACTGGTAACTGGTCAGACCTGTTTAATTGTAGTGATCTCTGGCACGTGCTTAGGAGGGCCTTTATTAGCTTTGACTTCTTTGCCTTCTTCTCCTCCTCCTTCTGCTCCGTGTCCTTCTCCCTCCTCCTCCTCCTCCTCTTTTTGTTCCTCTGATTTACTGTTGAGAGGTTTCCTATGAGATGGGCGTGGTCGAGGATAAACCGAAAGGCAAGAGTCCTCGGATAATGCTGCCAACTAATAATAAATAATAAATAATAAATAACAACAGTAACAATAATTAATATTAATACCTGATAAAATATATCCTTAGACCTGACGATGGTATATACAATGCCCGTATTACCTGTAGAATGATAATAATAATAATAAGGTTACAAACAGGGTCATCCCCCCTCTCTCTCCCTCTCTCACCGTCAAACTGATATTGAATGAGGTTATTAAAGACTTCGAGTAAATAAAAAACAAGATAGTGGTTCATTGGCTTTGCAAATAAAAACCAAGTTGTAGAGAAAGACTACAAAAATAAATATCATGATATGAAAATAATAAATTTAAATACTAACTTCCATTAAATGCATTAACCTTGTACAAGTTAACATGCACAGAGATTTCAAATATGGTGACACTAAAGAAGAGAAACCGGTATCAAAAACACGCCCACCCACTTAATTAAACCTACCGTTCACAAGAACTGTCAACAAGCAATCGTAGAGAGGCTGTATACGAGATAGACCACTCGTTATGATTTTATGAAAAACCTAAATTTAAATAAAAAATAATGTAACATTGCAGCTGCTGTCATTACTAGGAACAAGAGGTCAGCATGAGTCCCACTGAATCGCGGGAGGTCCATTGAGACAGGGTGAGAGTAGGCCTTGTTCAATCTAACTCCAAAGTTCCTGTCACCGCTTAGCACAAGGAGAATGAATACTCCAACGTGTAGGAGACCGATCATATCTTTAAGAGAAAGAGAGGATAAAATAACTTTCTTCAAGGTGTAGTAAGAAGAATATTAGTTCGATCATGTATTTTTCAAAACAAATTATGCTATAAATATATGTTCATGCACAATGAGATATGGTCTCAAACTCACTAGGATTGCTGCGTGTCACTAAGAGCTCTTGCAACAAAGGGACTAGCAAGTCAAACAGTACTGGCCCACGAAGCAAATGAGCCAGAAACTTCTACAATAGAGAGAGAAAGAGAGAAAGTGATCCACATCTCTTTAAAAAATCATGAGACAGCTTTTACTTGATTGAAAGATATGAATTTCCATATTAATATGTACAATACTTCAGTAAAATAAATCCTCTTAACTGATGCTGGCAAATATGTCTGAGTCTAAACAAGAAACAATAACAATCATAAAAGGATGCATTAAGCTATGAAAAGCAAATCCGAAAATATCCAAAGTTTTACTGACCTGTCTCAGTGGATTGGCAATAAGCTTCGTTAAACCTTTCACAATGAAATCCAAATCCTATACATGCAAATATATAAATAAAATGGCAGCCACTGCTCTCTCTCTTACTTCTTGTTGATGCAAACGTGATAAATAAGCCAAAAAGAGGTTAGCTATCCCAGTCTCCTTCTGTATTATCATTGCAGGTGAGAGGGGCTCTTCGGTTTGGGGCGTGGCACCTGTCACATGACCGGGGGGCTGCGGAGAGTACGGGACAAAGTTGAGAATAATGACAAGAAGGTTGGCACAGGACTCTGTCAACTCTTCTCTAATGTCGCCAACAAAAGCATAATAATAACTGGAAAAGAGAGAAATAGTATTCGCTAGTTGCAATTACAAATTTCTATAAAACTTGACCACTAGCTCTACTCTTTCTCTATCTCTTACGGTACTCCGTATCCCACAGGATCATAATTACAGACAACATTCAATAGAGAGGTCAAAAGAGGGAGGACATGTCTATTAGCAGGTGAGGTAAAGTGAGCCAACCATTGATTGGGACTTCCTGAAATCTCTATCAGCATAGAAACAACAAAAAAATTACGGACAAACAAGTAATATAAACATTTCTGTTTCACTGAAAAATGAGCATCACATAAAATTAATATTTAAATATTCACCTCCAGGTGCTACGTACAGACTCTCAGAGAAGCAGGTTATTAGCAATTTAATAATTTCCATTCTGTGCGAGTCAATCTGTTTATTAGTTCCGGGTGACTTAGAGGTGCCTATACCAGCCTCCCTGCATGTGTAGCATTAATAACCACACCCATAAACACTACCCTTACCATATGTAATCGGAACTGTCGAGAGACGCCAAATCTTCGTGTTTCTCCTGAAAAGAAGATATACACAGTATAATTATGTGGATGTAATGATTAGTGTATGTATGTGTAAATTCAATTTACTGGCCCTCCTTGATTTGATAAAGGTATGACAGTGAAGTCGGGACAAAAGAGCAAATCCTACATAACATAAGAATCACAATGATAGAAGCCAAAGAGAAAGAGAGACAGTGAAGATAAAGGTAGTTGTGTCTCACCGTCAGTGAGTCCAGCAGTACTTGCGCTAGGGCAGGAGGTGAGCCCTGATCTGGAGCCTATTTATAACAAAAATGGATACTTTAATAATGTGAAGCTTAATGAATGAAAACCTCATTGACGTGAGCCGGGGTCCAAAAGAGAAGCCTCCAGTCTGGAGACTCAAATAAAAACGGAAGCAGGCGAGTCAAGAACCTCACGCAATTCAAAACTGAACAGAAAAAAAACAACAGAATAGTGTTGTGGTGAAAATGATGGTGTTTATATTAATAGTGATTACCAATAACGTGTTCGTTTTCACCACTACAGGCAGTTGAAGCAGCTGCACTAATTCTTGAAACCAACTACATTAAACAATACATGTACATGTAAAGTATAATTAATTATATATATACATAATTACATATGCACAAAATATAATTTTTCAATTTTATTTCATCGTTACGAGGCCCTCACTTTAAAACAAAGAGCAGTGAGGTTACCAGAGCGAGTGTTCATCATCTCTTTGATTTGTTCGTGAGTCAATGAAGTAAAGAAATCGTTACTAGTCAAGGATGGGTCGGACCAATATCTCTCCCAAAAAGAGTCGCCCAAACTCGCCACGGTCTAGAGGGCGGGAGAAAGAATAAAAGGCTCAATGTGTACCTGATTGGGATCATTATTAGTACTTGTTCATTTGTTATAAGATCATTAATGGCCGTCTTGAAGGACTCCTTGCTCGAGCTGGAACCCATTTTGTTTCTAATTTAGAGGATTCTAATATTTCTTTGAGTTTCAGACTTGACCACGTGGCACCATCATGGCATTTTTGAAGGAAGATCAAGTAAATTTCTCTCTTTTCCAGTTTTCATGACATTTATCCTTTTTTCCTTACAGGTGAAGCTAGCACTTGATGCTTTAAAAAAGTACCTCACTGAAGTAGAGGCTAAGAAGAAGCCTGATTTGCTTAAAGATGATCAATTTGTATACTTGACTGGAGAATATAAAACAGCAAAACCTTATTCGTCCTCTCCAAAGAGAATGTAATGCTCTATTTTGCAATAATATATCTAAACATTAATTCGTGGCATGTTAGTAGGTGTGGCAATATGCTGTGAGGCCACACCCTTAATGTTTTTATTATTATTTTAATTTCATTTATGATTATTGTAATTTTTGCAGATTATTGCCTCATGGTTTAAACGAGCCCGGAGCTGTCGATGTGTGCATTTTTACTAAAAATCCAAAAGCTGAAGTCAAGAAGCTTTTTGAAGAGAAAGGTGTCAAGCTGATAATAAAAGTAGGTCCATTATTAATAGTATTACTATTGATTCAAGACTGTTATGGCTGATTTGTCACTTAATTATACCTACTGCATTAATTTCAAATCTCTATGACTCTAGATAATCCCTCTCACAAAGATTGGCACTCATTTCAAGTCGTTTGAAAGACGCAAGCAGCTGGCTGGGATGTACAACGTATTCTTGGCTGACAGTAAAATATTCCCTCTCTTATTTAAGAAGCTCGGCAAGGCTTTTCTTTTCAAAAGAGGACCACCTTTTCCGGTCGACTTATCAAAACCGAATCTAAAATCTGAACTGAACGCCGCCATATCTGCCACTCATTATCGGACTAGTAAGACTACAGCACTCTCCGTTAGAATAGGGAAACTCTCGATGCCATCGGAGCACCTCCTCCAGAATTGTCTGACAGTGTGCAAGTATCTTGGTAAGCACGTCCCAAGAGGATGGAAGGAGATCAAGTCATTGTACATCAAGACAGTGACAAGTGTCTCTCTTCCTATTCACAATAGTTTAGACGTAATGATACCAACTAAAATGGATGACGAAGGCAGCTTGAACGAGAATCAAGACCGAATTCAAAGAAAGAGATTGCGCATGGATATCTAACTGTTATTGTTGTTATTGATTTTCAAAGAAAAATTAGAAAATATTTTACACTTTTGTTATAAAGCGAGTCTCTATTATGTATTATAATATTAGAGAAATTTGTTATTTACAATGTTTACTGTATACAAAATGAATATATTTTTTGGAACTTTTATCCTGCTTCAATTTCAAGAGTGATTGCTACCGGCACTCTCATTCCCCTGTCCTGTATTCTCCAGCGTCAATAGCGTGTTACTGTCAGCTGTACTCATTAATGGAATAAGTTGTACTGATGATGTACCAGGGAAGGGATTAAGTGTCATCAAGGTTTGTTGGATCGAAGAATTACCCGCTCCTCCACCTTTGAGTACCAGTTCTAGCTCCTGTCCATTCTCTAGTCTACTGATGTCCTTGTCTTTCCTTATAAGGACGTTGGGTAGTTTGCGTATCTTTGACACGTCGTCTGGCGATACTTCCAGTTCTTCACAAATATTCCTCAGTAGGTCAATGTATGAGAAAGTCTGGATGTCAACTTCAATGAAATCAGTTTCACCACTATCAGCTATACGGACTTTGACTGTAGCGATTTTTGACGAGTTTGAGCCTGAAGGAGAAACAGAGACGATTAAAAGTCAATGCTAATTAAAAGTACAAGAAATTTAATAAGAATAACTGAATGTGTGGCATGCAACTGAAATCAAAACCCAATACCTTTCAAGCATCCTATTACAATATGGAAGTTGGTCACTGCTGCGTAGACATGTTATTGAGCGTGACGTATCATGCGTGAATTACTTCTCAATATGAACAAAACAATAAAACAATAGTAGTACTACTGTATCGGCATAGTACCAAATGTGTGTACTCTAAATGGAGTACAAAATGGGCTGCTATTAGAGACATACGGGTCTCCTCACTCTTTAATGTTACCCTATCTCTTCCTCATTAGTATATCTAGAAGCACTTACCATCGAAACATATTCGTTTAGCCTCAGGTATCGTTAGTATTGGTGGAGTATGAGGGGCATGAATAGGGTTTGGTAAAGTGACAGTAGTGATGCTATTGGAGATGGGAATATTGGAAAGGGTGGTGAGTGGAGAATGCTGCTGTATAAGCTGAGAGTTGTTAGCTAGCTGGGTTCCCACTTCTTGAATCTCTTGTCTTTTCTGAGCTGCAGAGGGTCGTCTTCGATTGCGTACCCAATTCTATTTAAAAAAAGATCATGGGAAAATTAATCGTTTTTTTGACAACAACCACAATGCTGAAAGCTAATCCTCTAGATAACGATATTCATGTTCACATGTGCCACCATTTGTCAATTAATTATTGTTAATAGAAATAATAATAATAATAATAATAATAATAATAATACCGTTGCTATACCTTAATGACGTATAGCTCAAGTCCAGTCTGGTCAGCCGCTGCCTCATGTAAATGGTGGAGATTATGTGAAGCACTAACCATGCCAGTCTTGTAGAACTCCTCAAGAATCTTCTTCTGGTGTGGAAGTATCACTGTTCTCTTTCCCTGCACTCTTGTAAAGAGTTGGACCTTTTGTTGCTGCAGTAGCTGTGGAGGTGGTGGCATGAGGTGTGTGCTGTTACCGCTATAAGGACCCATGCCCATGCCTTGGCCGACATTACCCCCGTCTATCTCGCTCGTTATCTCCCCGTCAGTCTCACCAGAGTCTTCGTCATTCTCCTCTTCCTCTGGTTGTATGTGCTCTACCTCCACATGTACGTCCTCTAGCGGATTTGCTGCGTCAGAATTGGCGCCGTTACTGTTCATCTCTTGACTGATCGCACTCTTGTCCTATCAACTCTGTGCTTATCAACTCTCTTGTCTCTTGTGTCAGTGTGTCAACCTGACCGTAAATCCCTACCTATTCTAATTGAACGAGCACTTAAAATTTTCACCGCAATAGATCTATCTTTAATTATAAAGATTTCTAAATTATTTTTTGTCATTTGGATAAATAAAGTAAACATGGCGGACAAAGATGAGGCACTGAGAGAAGCTGTTTGCATAGGTAACATGGAGTCTGCAAGAAAACTGATCAAGATGGGAGCTTCTGTCAACTCTCAAAACATAGTTAATGGCTGGTAAGTCTGCATTGCAAGTAAAAAAACATCATTAATAATTATTTTTAATTTTTTTTATTTTTAAAGGACGGCACTACATTGGGCCTGCAAGAGGGGACATAAGGATTTAGCAGAATACCTTTTATCTTCAGGAGCTGATCCATCAATAAAGTCATGCAAAGGAGAAACTCCGGACACCGTAACAACTGACAAAGAAATATCACAGCTCCTTTCAACAGGAGGGGAAGCAGCCATGAGTCCGGGAAATGATGAGGCCTTTCCTACTAATCCCCAACTCCCGATAATTCCAAATTACTTGAGAAACCCTCCATTTCCTTACACTGATACGTTAACGGAGCGTTCACTTGATCTCACTGATCTACATATATCAGAATCAAAATCAAACAATGATTCAAAATCTAATCAATCTGAAATCAACTTTGATGATGCAAGTAATGGCAGAAATCACTCGAAATCAAGCGTCAATGACTCAGAAATCACAGCGAAGGAATCACTTAGGGTCAAAGTCCGTATAGCTAATAGCGGCGAGACTGATTTCATTGAAGTTGACGTGCAGACTCTCTCATACATTGACCTACTGAGGAATATTTGTGAAGAACTGGAAGTATCGCCAGACGACGTATCAAAGATACGCAAACTACCCAACGTCCTTATAAGGAAAGACAAGGACATCAGTAGACTAGAGAATGGGCAGGAGCTAGAACTGGTACTCAAATAATTTATTTATTTTTTAAAACAATGATTATTGATAGTATAAACAACATCTGTAGTGGTTATCATGGGTATGTGATTATGGTATATTAAGAATTTAGGGGAAATAATCGTCGTAATTGTTCTAGAAATATCCACGTCAAGATCGTTTGGGGTCCTAATCTCGTAAATGATGGAACGAAACCCTGAGACAGTAGAAATAAGATGAATGATAGTTTTGATTTGTTAAATTATTGTTACCTTAAAAAATCCCAGAGGTCCCAGTCTAGCTGTGTACAGTGTACAGTGGACTATCGACTGTTTGAAAGAATGATGATGATGTTAGTTTTCGTCAAACTATTACAATACCTTGTAGTCTCCAGGTTTTGCATTCATCATTCTAGTCTTTACCACATCAACTGGTTGTGTCATGGCAGTTGCTATAATACCCTGTACCGTGTGTGTGTGTGTGTGTGTGTGAGTGAATAATACAGGTAGATATTGGATACTAGTTAAACCAGTTCTGAGCTTACAGCTATAATGCTTGAAGAGAAATGAGTGATTATGTTGTCGGAGAAGATGCTAAAAAAAGTAGCAAGTACATGATCATGATCACAGTGAATCATATACACTATACCTTGTAGATATTAGAAATTGTTTCACTTGTTCATACAATGCCACCTGGAAACAAGACACACCCATAAACCCTCCCCCCGTACTTGTGATTCGTACCTGTGATACAGTTACCAGCACTGCTCTTGTTATATTCAGTGAGGACCCACGCCATAAATTCATAACACCCTCTGCAATGAAACATGCACATACAGTGCAATTATATGTCACCAGGATCATTATACCTTCTCTAATAACTCTAATTAGTCCATCTCCTATATGCTTGTAACTGTCAGAGAGTAAGATAAAGAGAGAGAGAGGATAAAAGAAGGCACATGTGCATGGTACACTTACTTTCTTCTCACTTCTAGAGCAACCTTTACATCATTCTGCATCCTGTTGGTAGAGGTGGAGAATAGATTATCATTAGCATAGCATTAATATTGAAAAACAATCATATTATTTTAAAATGTCCTGGATCTAAGGTGAAGTGTAGCTAGACTAATCATATGACCTACATACTAATGCACGTGGAACAAGAGTGAGAACATGACTAATGTCGTTAAGGTATGCTTGCTTACTCCTCAAACATTGTAATTGATAATTTAGTGAGTAGAGGCTAATTATAACGTTGTGCCAATACTCAGGAGTTTCCACCATTACTCACTCATTTGAGATACTATAATGATGACTATGTTTCCTCTTACCTTACATTCACCATGTCAGCTGGACTACCAACTAGACCACCACAAGCACCTACAAAAGGTTACATAGCCAGATTTAGTGATAAGATTTTAAGTTTATTAACAGCTGCTAGATAAGCATAATTAGCAAGATATGTACCTCCAATGGCGCCAATGACTATCTTCTGATAAAATGGTACATATCCTATTATGATTTGAAACAAACATTAAGAGAAGACATTGTCTTTGTGTGTTACCTTTATCTGCTTGTATTTTTGCTCTCAGTACTTCATATATGCCAAATCTTGTCGTCGAATAGGATAACTGGGTAAAGGAAGCTTAAAGTGTTTAATGGGTTACAGTGTTATTGTTAATTTGTGAGGCAGGAAGTGAGGATTTTAAAGTTTTGTATAAGCAGTGTAGTTTATAGTGTAGTCCTGATAATAAAGGACTGGGTACTATTAGCACTTATAGACAATACTGACCGAACAAAAGGCCAACTGATTATCAATAAAGGTCAGAGCTAGGGTCAAAGGGAAGGAGCAAATTGTTTTGTTTTTAATTTTTTTACACCACACCTGTCTCGCTAGTGATGCACTGAGTCCATTGTATAAGGCAAGATTCCCTTGCGTTCTGACTACGTTGACTGCCATAGAGAGTAGGCGCTTCTCTACTACCTGCTGTGTCTGCAAATGAACCTAAAGCAAGGGAAATAAAGAGAAAGAATTGACACAGACCCTTGCAATCAGCCTAGTATACTTTGAGAAGGTCCAGAGGATGAGTGCAAGCAGCTGCTCCGGCAGAAGCAAGGCCACCAAGATACCATCTCTGCTTCTTCGTGCTCTTGTTCACCGACATTTTTTGAAGTTGGTGGGTGTGTTTAATTAATTGATTGTTATTAAATAATTATTGATCATTAAAATGATTGGTCACGCCCACATGTTTTACACATGTTGAAACACGTGTTCAAGCTTGAATGAAAAATGGCAGATTCAGTCAACCTAATCCTGGAGCGAATGCTCCCTCATCTAGAGGAGTTACAGCATACTGGTATATTTCAGGAGGATGAGATAAGGTTTTGGAATGTCTTGTTAACTTATGCAATTTTGTTTCTTTTTAAAATAGAGACATAGTTAAGAAAAGACGACAAATGGAGTATCAACTTTTTAGGCGTCCACCAAAGAAAGAAGACTATTTAAAAGCGATCGAAGTGATTTAAAATTATAAATAATTTTTAATATCGGTTTCATTTTAGTTTGAATATAATTTAGACAAGCTTCGTAAGCTACGCAAAGAGGTGTGTGTATTTCTACTAATTATTAATTATTAATATTTTGAAGAAAATGGGCGTAGTCGGCATGAGTCAGGATGGTGAATTTGGTATTATTAATAGGATTACTAGTCTATACAGGGTAAGCTCCTTCATCATCATTACTCTTAAATTATCTTTAATTTTCAGAGGGCAACAACGTATTTCAAAGTGAGCCATAATTATTATAAATATTTTTATTCATTTTTTGTTATTTAGGATGATATATCCTTATGGCTTAATCACATTGACCACTGTAGATGTACTAACCAGCACACCATGACCAGTAAACTCTTTGGTAAAGCACTTGCTATTCATCCCACTAATGTTGGTATGTTTATTGCTTTTACCATATTAACTGACAGGGTTGAACTAAACAGCTTGCTCCATAGCTAGCAAGCACTATAATAGAATGCATGGTATTTGGAGCAACTTTAAAAATTTATAAAAAATCCAAACTTGATCGGAACCAGCTCAAAGTTTCTACACAACATAAGTACATGTATATGCATCAGAAAAAGTTATAAAAATAGAGAATTTTCTACTTTTCATTTTTGGCAAAATTTGACAAAAATCCCTGTACTATAGTACAGGGACTTTTGCCCGATTTTGGAGCAACTTTAAAAATTTGTAAAAAAATCCAAACTTGATTGAAATGGACTAAAACTTTCTACGCAATATAAGAACATGTATATGCATCAGAAAACATTATAAAAATTAAAAATTGTCCACTTTTCATCTTTGAAGAAATTTGGCGAAAGTCCCTGCACTATAGTACAGGGACTTTATGCCAGAATCCTGTGGGAAATTGATGATATCCCATGTTGATTATAGGGTTGTGGATTATGGCAGCTAAGTTTGAGTTTGAGGAGAGACAGGACACTACGGCGGCAAGGGTTTTATTCCAAGAAGGGCTCAGAACTAATAGAGAGAGTGAGAAGTTATGGCTAGAAGTTAGCATTAAAATCTTCTTGCCTTATTATAATTATACTTTTATTATACAAAGTATTATAGACTGGAGCTATTGGCTGTTGATAAAGTATGCATATTATAGTGCTATTTTTCTATTTATTAATCTCTCTAGCTAAGAAAAAGAAAGAATGTTCTTATACTAAGTACAAATGAAGTTAGAGTGATTGCTTTTTTTTAAGTAAAATGATTATCTTCACATTATAGGAGGCACCTAGTGATGATGTGATGGATTATGCCATCAGTTGGCTGGTCTATAATGAGGCAATCAAATCAATTCCAGGTGAAATGGAATATCTTATGTCATTTCATATTTTGTTTTGCAGATAATGCGTCATTTCGAATTGCTTTTCTACCAATCTTGGTTCAATTTGAAGAGACGCACAAGAGAGAGCAGGAGATATATGACAAGTAATATTTTCTTTTTCTCCTTTTATTTTAGTTCTTCCTCCCAGTCTGTTAGCTGATTTTCCTAATTCTGGTTTAGTACATGATGCTGTTGCCAAGAGGAATTGGCTTAGGATTAATAATGAAGACTCTCTCCCTGGTAACTGAAACTGCATCTAATGTAATGTGTAATACCCTTTTACACATAGTAAGTAAAGTTAAAGAACTAGAGAGAGAAACTGAGAGACTTTATAGAGAAGGGATTGAGAACTTGAGTAGAGCTGAAGGTATATCGTGTTGTTTGTAACATTTTCATTCATCGTAACAATGATGATATTTCAGTTCCAGAAGAAGAAGAAGAGGTTTCTCTTTGGGAGAAGTATATACTTTGGTCTGTAGAGAGACTCCAATATTGGAATAGAAAGAAGGGGCAGGCAAATGAGGTGTGTTTGTGTGAATCATTTTTAATGGCATGTTTAAGCAGCTACATGTATTTCTTCTCTCGTAGTCTGGGATTACTAAATTATTGGACATCTGCTCCAAGTGTTCTTCAAAAAGGAAACTGAATGAATCTCTAGCTGTCAAAATGGTATTGTGTGTTTTCAAAATGACAATTTATGTAAATGATGTAACTCAAATTTGTGATTAGAATTACACGTTTAAACTTTCTGTATGGCATAATGGTCATCAATAATGTGTGTTGAGGGTATTTTTGGAGCTGTAGTTTTGGAAAGAATGGATTATACCCGCTTTTTCCTAAATTTGGCATATTTTTCCAATGCTCAAAACTGTCAGAATAAACTCTCTTACATGGTATAAGGGCCTCAATATGTGTTAGAAAATTTGATTAAATGTTGATCGTATCCACAATGCATGTAAGAATTAATTCATTTAGGTCAAGTTACTTCAAACTAATGGTTTACATGAGCCAGCTGGTATATTAGTGAAAGAGATGGTAATTCTCTTCCCCTTCTCCTGTCAGTTGTGGTTGATCAGACTTCACTCTGAGATATTAAATCAGGCAAACTTTGAGACTCTTTCTGATCTATTTCATGAGGCGATCTTGTCAGTAAAAAAAGAAGTACATGTATGTTGCTGATTTTTACTTTACCATTTTCTTAATATTATCAATCCTATGCCTTTTTCCCAGCCATTGGCTACACAGATTTGGCAGTTATATATTAATCAAGTCATCCTGAGGCACTCGTCAAGCCTTGATGAAATAGAATCAGTTTTTCAAGTATTAACCAACCATACAATAACTATGTCTATTAGACTATTAATTTATCTAATTCAGTCTTGCCTGCAGTCATTGCCTTCAGCTAGTTCCGAACCTATTCTCCTCCAGTATTTAGATTGGGTATATATTAGCAGAGGAATAAAGAGCATTCGTAACACTTACAAGAAGTAGGCAGAAGTCTCCATTTAGATTTTGGTTAATCATTTATTTCTTAGAATGTCAAAAGACAATCAACAATCTCTCTCAATCTGTGTTTACATGAAACTTGTCAGTTATGAAGTATCCGAGGTAACGTCTAAAATCTGTTGCATGTTTTGTATATCAAAATATGCATGTCCAGTGACATTATGTCTCATGTCTCCATCAACAGGTTAGTATTAACAATAGAAGAATCGTTGACCTTTTTGAGGCAGCAATTAATAAGTATGGTTGCACTTCAACAGGTTTGTATCTGAATATTATAATAATATAACTCTCCATCTTCTCATTCTCACTTTAAGATTTGTGGTTAGAATACATAAAGACTGTAACATTGCTAGGCTCAGCCAGTGAGGTGAGTGACTTGTATTGGAGAGCTACTAAAACTCTTGATGGAGGGCTGATCGCCCAATTTATGAGTAGACACAGCTGCTTGAATTTTTCTTAGCTTAAAAAACTATTAATTATTGTTTATACATTATCCGCCCCTCCTTTATACTGTGTTGTGTGTAAAAGTTATTATTATAATTTGATAAACTTTGTACTTGTGGGGACAATTCACAGAAATGGGTAAATTTTACATTCGACATGTACACATGTTGAACATTTGAAAGGAGAAAAAGACAAATAATTAGAGGGAGTGTGTGTGTGTGTGTGTAAGTCATGTGTTCTGTGTATTGTTAGTATAATATATAGGTTTTTAATTCAGTCTTCTTTATCATCGCTGTTTGTAAAGCTTTCATGGGTTCCAGTAATCTCCGTTTCTCTTCTCAATCTTGTCTTTGCCCCTTTAACCAAATGTACCGAGGATTGTAGAGACACAAAAGCGAAATAAACCAGCGTTGCTGCCCCCGTACAACAACCAGCCATTGTTAGGGCGGCTGCTAGAGCCACTGCTAGCCCAATAACTCCACACAATACGAGAAACCCTTGCCAGACTATGGCGGCAATCATGGTGAATAATAATGTCCCAAGGGCAAAGGAGATGAAGGCCAATACGGGGAATACGGCAAAGCAAAGGAAACTCCCTCCGGCGAACAGTCTAAGAGGATGTTCTGTACCATATTGGACCAGCTCATTAAAACGGGATGACATCCTATCACCAGAGAAAGAAGATGAAAATGTCTCCTTAAGTTTGAAGGCCGACATGCCCAGAGAAGTGTAAATTCTATCACGTGCGTGGGTGTTGTTTTGAGGCGTGGTTTGTTTTATTCACTGTTAGGCCACGCCCTATTTATTATTCGCTGCCAGTTTCGAGTAAAGTGTGTGCAAAAGATGCTTTTTTGATTTGAGGGAAAGGAAGCTACTTTATGCTCGGGGAATCCTCTTATATCTTTGCCTAGCAAGTTTTTCTACAGGCTCTAAGTGTTTCTCTTCTGTTGCAACACAAATAGTAGTTTCACGGCTCTCCTTGTTCTGAAACTGGTCCAACCTGAAGACTGAGCGAGTAGCTACAAGATGTCCTCTTCGCATCAGCAGCATTGGTAAGTACACCCTCCTGTGTGATGTACTACTTTAATCAGCTGCTAGTAAAAGTGTTTATTTTAAATTGCTCCAGTGATAACTGTCTTTATTAACACATGTACTGTTTTAATTAGCTCTAGACCCTCACCACCATTGTCCCAACTTCCTCCCTTTCTCTCTCCTTCTCTATTCCTCTTCTCTGTTATTCTGCTGGCAGCCAACATTATGTATGTATGTAATAGCCTTGTTGCTGGTAGAATTACAGCTAATATTAATACCAATTAGACTCCTTCATATTGTCTGCATTATGTCACCTAACAGCTATTTCCAGTGTATTTAACTGATTATATCAAACCCTTTCACTATTATACAACCAGTACACTTCATCCTTTCATTAGTGCCAGTAGCAGACTGTAAAGTACACATGCTCTATGTTCTAAGCCTTCCTAGTTGTGTGTACTCACAAATTATTTCATGATGATATTTTCCTTGAGGGAATAGTATTTTATTATGTCTCGATGCATTTGATAATTAACATTGTACGGATTATTTATTTGTTGTTGTATGAGACACAGTTTGCAATTAATTTATTGACAATAACAACAACAAAACAATTAGTATTGTTAGTCTGCTATTGCCTGAGGCATGTTTATTTGTTGTTTAGCTACCTGCACTCCTGTCATGGCTATTATCATCATCATCATCATCATCATCATCATCATCATCATTATTATTATTATTATTATTATTATTATTATTATTATTATTATTATTATTACAGGTCGTATGAGTCCTCTTATCCAGTCGCTAGTCATCATGATAGCTTAGCTCGCTGTGCTCATCCCTCTGATCTTAACAGGGTCAATCCTAAACCACACCCACAGCTAAGACGTCACACTAGCGACAGATCGGCCGAGCATCATCGCTCAAGAAACAAGTTGAGCCATGAAACCTCAGCGTCCAATCAGATTGCTTCTCTTAGTAGCGGGTATGTATCTGCTGATCACAGGACCTCGGATTATCCTCACTACAGGAGCAGCAGGGGGAGTGGTTTAGACTATAAGCCACACAAAGAACGGGAGTTTGTTCGCTCTACGACCAGTCCAGATATCGGAGCCTATCAATTATCTTCTCTCGATAGACACTCGTTCTCAGATGGCAGTCAATCCAGTTTTACCGGTTCCTCTGCTGAAGCGACCAATCGAATGGGGCCATCTCATGTAGGCGGGGTGGAGCGTCCGTACAGGGAAAGCCCCAATAGCAGTCAGTCGGATTTTTCTGATCATCATCATCATCAGCGATATAGTGGGAGGTATGTTGGTATTATAGGTTTACATGTACCTTTGATTGTAGTAGTTATAGATACGTGATTGAGTCTTTATGTAGATATACGAGACATTTTTAAAATTGTGTGTTGTTTTTGAGTTTCTACAAACAGGTACAAGTTCCCCCCACATTCCTCTAGTGTAAATCACTGAGGCATGGTGCATGCTATAAGGAGGGAGGGAGAGCAGCTGGTAGAGAAATGGTGTGTATCTGTAGTGTAGTGTAGTCTTGATCCATGGTACTAGTAGTAAGCTAGTAGTATCAGGTTTCCATTCCATAGCAAATAGTCTCCAAGCAATTTTATTTAAATTTGTTTAAATTTGTTGCTTTCCTTCTTCCCTCCCTCTCTTTCTATCAGTCGTGCTGGAGGTGGTTCAAGTTCTGGTCTGTATCATTCTCTTCCTCGTTCGAGGAGCTCACTGGCTGCCAGTGGATCAGCAACTGGTCTTGATCTATCAACTGAAGACAGAAACCACAAAAGCACATACAACCATCCATCAGGTGTCCTTCATGGATCAGGTACATGTACATGTACATGTGTGTGGAAATGCAACACCTCTTGAGATCAACTTTAGATACATAAATTACTCTCTCAAGTGTTTCTCTTTCCTCGTGTGTGTGTCTGTCTGTCTCCTTTTGCGTCCATTTAGCTTCATTTGTGGTTGTCACTCTACAATATCTTTGAGAGATCTCTTTTGATCTTTCTTCTTTAATGAATAATGACCATCATATTAGTGCCCCCTTCACATAAACACTAGACACAAATGAGCCAACCACAGCATACATTGTGTATACATGTACGTGTACATATACATGTACATGTATATGTACATGTACATACATATACATGTACATGTACATCTATAAAAACAAACTATAATACAGAGAGTAGAGTCATTTTTTGAATGAGTCCCATATATCTATGTGTGACTGGTATATGAGTCATTGTGTGTACTATTATGTCTTCATTGGTGTACATGTATGGGCTGCATTAGACTAAGTGTCCTATGAGGACCATTGAGCTTATGAATACATGTTTAGAGGTTGCTGTTGTTATTATTGGATCCATGTATGATATTATGATAATATCCGTAATTGGATGTTTATTATTTTAACCTATTTCATTTATTATTTCAGTACTTGTGTATATAACGAGTGTAAGTGCTTCAAGGTATTGTAATGTTTATAGGTAGAGTCTGGCCTGTAGAGGAAGAGGATAAGCTGTTACAGCGTCAGGCTCATCTTCCTCCCAGGACTATCAATACAGCCGATGACTACTGGATGCCAAGGCATATCCCTCCTGTGTATTTCTCTCGATCTTCTACCACTTCTCCTTCATTTAGCAGTGAAGCTGAGAGCAATGTAAGCACATACATGTAAGACATATGCATTTATACATCTAAGTACATGTACATGTACATGTAGTGTGTATCATGGTATGTGTATATGCACACGATGTGTGCATGTATTGTGTTACAATGAACCTTTGTATTAACATACCTTCCTCATTAGTATAGTCACATGTACATAGAAACCTTCCTCTCTCTTCCTTCCTTCATCTTTTCATGCTTCAGTGCTCCTGTCTACTTGTATCTCTCTCTCTCTCTCTTGATTTGACCTTCCTTCCTCTCTCATTTCTCTCTATTTCTCCCTTCGATCAGTATACTAATGTTATTCTACTGATAGCTAGTATACATGTACTATGTACAGCAATTAAGTATTGTGCTAATACTTCATTAGTGACTAGTAGGTTGTTATTGCCAAAAGGTTTAGTGTGTCTTTAGTTAATCACAAAGGAAATGAAAGTGCATTAAAAATAGCACCACCTTTCACAGCTTTTCCCCCTCTCTCTTTCCCATTCTCTTACAGAGCAAAACCTCTTAATCAGATTCATTTAATGTATTATCACCCCCCCCCCTCTCTCTCTATCTCTTGTATATTTTAGGAGACCCCGTGGTATGAACAGGATAATCCTAACATACACTCTGGTCTCATGTTTTATTCCCCCAACCATCCACCTGCTCCCCCTCCTTCTCTCCCCTCTCATCATCCTCGCCCACACTCTTACCACCACACCACCTCACCAATTGATGGAACTGGCATCCCATTGTCAAGACCACACCTACCAACCACGCCTACAAGAGACCCCGTCAGTCGAGAGTATGACGTAATGTCGGAGCAAAAGATGCTGTCTCAGCAAAGACTGGCTCGTTATTTTAGCCACAGCCAGGGAGAAGGAGGAGGAGGAGGAAAAGGGGAGAGGATGTTTCGTAGGGAGTCCAGTCCGGCTGAGTTAGGACAAACCCCTCCTCTTCATGATCACGATAAACTTGAGAGCATCGGAGAGAAACCATCCCCAAAAACAGTAAGATAACTATTAATAACTACCTATAACTTTTTACATTTGTAACTAGTTTAGTGTTCAATTTGCTAGTCTATAGTTTGTACACATGCGTGTTACATGTATGGTATATACGTGTAGTTTCTTTTGGTATATTTTTTGGCGGATGTTTGCTTCTTTCAATCACAGAACAGTGATAGTGTTTGACAGTTTATGTTCTGTTAGTCTCTAGTTCTGACAAGGTGTCCCTCTTTGGGGGGCTTTAGTAAAGTGACTTTGATTGACAAAACTTCCTTTTATAAACTCCAACAACTTGTTCACTAACTGCCAGTGATAGTGTTTTATGTCTCATTGCTACATATGTCATAACCTCTAGCCTATAAATGATCTAACAATATAGACATGGATTGATTTACATGCATAATTATTTATTATTATTATTATTATTATTATTAATTCAGGGAAAGCGGAGTCCATCAAAGCACAAGAAGTAAAATCAGCTTTTACTGTATTAAGGTTTCACCACACACACACACACACTCTCTCTCTCTCTCTTTTCTCCTTTTCAGAGTGGGTAGGAGCAAGTCAAGTGCTATTGGTAAGCTTGTCAAGAAGTTCAGCACTAAAGGAGGAAAGAATGACAAATCCCTAAAGACTGAAGTGAGCAATGGAGATAAAAAAGGTCTCACTGGGAGCGGCAGTAATCTCGATGGGTTCCTTCAACGTGTCAAGCGATCGCAAAGTATGGAGCTACTCCAGTTGGCTGCCACTCCGGTACTTGGTAATGGACGTAAGGTGACCACGCCCACTCCCAGTCCATTGACCACGCCCAAAGTTGGGAAGAGTATATTTAGAGCTCGAAGGAACAGCGAGTCCGACCTTGAGAACTGTGAGTGTAGTATGAGTTCATTTTTAATGCAAAATTATGAAAATATTTTAATTATATAGTGGGTACCCTAGTACGTACTGGTAGCAAGAAGAACCTTGCAATGGATACCACACAAGGTAGAGATCAACTAATGACAATTCACTCACAGTATAATCATAATTGTCACTGTATTACGTATGACTGTAGTAGTATATGATACTATACTGTATTGTGTATATATGTGTGCCAATGAGGCATAATAGAAGATATAGGAATACTGGAATCATTTAAATACACGTAATTATAGTAGTGGTAGTACAGTGATTCATTCTACATTAAGTGCTATGAGTATACAGTCCAGTATAAACATCATTTATTACTCTATATCATCAAAATCATACATGTACATGTACAGTACTTGTGTGAAGTGTATTTGATGCGTGTGTCTGTGTTGTGTCTGTCTCTGTCTGGTTGGCGTAGTAAGTCTCATCTTTTTGTCTCCTTTTCTGTTTGTACATCTCTTCACAGCTTTGTTTGAAGCCATTGAATCAGAAGATGAAGGAAAGTGTCAGGCTATACTGGAGAGTCAGGACACCATACCTCCTGATATTAACAGGTACCACTTTACATCTACATCTACATGTACATGTACTAAGCCCTTGATGATTCCGTGTACATGTACATGTACATGTACATGTACCCTTATTTCTTTTATATTCTTAATCTTGTGTCTTTCTAGCACCAATGATGATAATTGGACTCCACTGGATTTAGCTGCCATGCTTAATGAGAGAATAGCCTTACTCCTCTTAGCTTATGGAGCAAAAGACTCTGCAAGATGTAAGAATGTCTGCTGCCATCTTTGTCTGTCTCCACACAACTAGCCATTAATAATAACATTTTTAATTTCAATTATTTTATGTATTTTTTTAGATTTTAAGGATCCAGAGTATCGTAGAGACCATTTGAAGGATCTGTTAAAGAAAGCCGACACCGAAAGAAGATCAGTAGCTGATATGATACAAGCCAGTGGAGGAGGATCTAAGGTAAGCTGAATCAGCAAACTAAAGATCTTTTAGAATAATCATAATACATGTACATGTAAATAATGTATTTATTTAATGGGTTGAACGTGTACATGTACATGTACATGAGTGTAGTTACAACAATGTATGGTTTGCTGCCAATGTTTGCGAAAAGACATGATTTCATTTCTATTTGAGGCTTATCAGCCAAATCACCAACTTCCTACATAGTAATAATTAGTTTTGATGTATGCATACATACAGTGCAGTGTGTGTATCATTGTTTCTTTTCATGATGCAGGAGTTGGATAGGCAGCTGGTACATTGGACGTCTCGTGTTAATCTAATGAGAAAAATGAAATCAAATATTGACAAGACTAGTAAGCGAATCGTGTTTTGGACACAATGTCACTTTCTCTTTTGCATTCTCTCTCTCTCTCTCTCTCTCCCGTCTTCTTTTTTTCTCACTTAATACCCAGATCCTCCTGGTGCTCCTCGTCATGTACAGTTAAGTGTAACTTCTGCTGAGTCCCTCACAGTAAGGTTCTCAGAACCAGAGTTCTCTAATGGAGCGCCTGTCACCAGATACAAAAGTACACATCTTACAATGTACGTCTGATTGTCATGCTCTCTTGTTAATAGTTCAATGGAGTAAAGGAGAGCAGTTTACTAGAGAGACTGGTGAATTTACTCTCTGTGACGCACGGAATAAAGAATATGTGATACCAGGACTGGACAATGTTAGTTAACATCTAATTAATACTATAGTACTGATGTTGTATGTATTTGACACTCCGTTGCATATTAATATCACTGAATGATGCATTTTGGGATTATCAGTATTAGTCTACGTTTGTGTAATCTTTATCTTCGTTTAGGGTGTGAGGTATTATGTTAGAGTGTCAGCATTTAATCTCAAAGGATACGGACCACCAAGAACTTCAGTACCAACTTATGCAATACCTTCAAGTAAGAGAGAAAGAATGGGACGTACATTTAAAGTATTAATAATTGTTCTTTTCAGGCTGGCATGATTGTAATAAGTCCAAGCCACGCTATTATGGCAGTACCACACAGATTGAGATCATTTCTGCCAACATGAATAAAGTATTATCACAACAGGACGCCAGTGAGTTGTGTATTGTAATTAGCACTAATCTCACCTACCTTGTTTATTGTTTTGTTTGTACTCTCTCTCTCTCTCTCTCTCTCTCTCTCTCTCTCTCTCTCTCTCTCTCTCTCTCTCTCTCTCTCTCACTCTCACTCTCTCTCACTCTCACTCTCTCTCTCTCTCTCTCTCTCTCTTTTTCAGATGCTTATTCTGGTACTGGCACTCCATCTACTTCTTCTAACAGGCGAAGCATCAAAAAAGGACTCACGAAATTTTTCAATCAGGGGGTCAAATTTCACAAGTCTCTTAAAACGTATGCTTCATTTACATTACACGTGCATGTATGCTGTGTGTTTTGCAAAAATTTTAAGTGGATTTTGAATTTTTAAAGTTGCTTCAAAATTGGGTAAGAGTCCCTATACTGTAGTACATAGTCTTGGGCCAAATTTTGTCGAAAATAAAAAGTAGAGAATTCTTCATTTTTATAATGTTTTCTGATACATATACATGTACTTATGTTGTGTAGAAAGTTTGAGCTTATTCTGATCAAGTTTAGATTTTTTACAAATTTTTTAAGTTGCTCCAAAATCAGATCAAAGTCCCTGTACTATACAGGGATTTTGGTCAAATTTCACCAAAATTGACAAGTAGAAAATTCTTCAATTTTATTGCATTTCCTGATGCATATACATGTACTTATGTTACGTAGAAAGTTTGAGCTTATTCTGATCAAGTTTAGATTTTTTACGAATTTTTTAAGTTGCTCCAAAATCGGATCAAAGTCCCTGTACTATAGTACAGGGATTTTGGTCAAATTTCATCAAAATTGACAAGTAGAAAATTCCTCAATTTTAGTACATTTCCTAATGCATATACATGTACTTATGTTGTGTAGAAAGTTTGAACTGATTCAGATCAAGTTTGGATTTTTTATGATTTTTTAAAGTTGCTCCAAAATCAGACAAAAGTCCCTGTACTATAGTACAGGGATTTTGGTCAAATTTCATCAAAATTGACAAGTAGAAAATTCCTCAATTTTATTACATTTCCTAATGCATATACATGTACTTATGTTGTGTAGAAAGTTTGAACTGATTCAGATCAAGTTTAGATTTTTTATGGTTTTTTAAAGTTGCTCCAAAATCAGACAAAAGTCCCTGTACTATATAGTACAGGGATTTTGGTCAAATTTCATCAAAATTGACAAGTAGAAAATTCCTCAATTTTATTACATTTCCTAATGCATATACATGTACTTATGTTGTGTAGAAAGTTTGAACTGATTCAGATCAAGTTTGGATTTTTTATGATTTTTTAAAGTTGCTCCAAAATTGGACAAAAGTCCCTGTACAGTACTATAGTGGAAAACCTATTATGTTAAATATTTAAATATTCTTTTTATTGATACACAGTGGCGTTTACCTTTCCTCCATTCTTTACTCTGATGAGGGGCGTGTCCTTGTTACCGTTGACGACAACCTCCCACTGGTCGAAGTGTCAGACTCCCTTCCTAGCTCAATCGGAGGCGACTTTGCCTGGGTTGCAAAGGTACTGTCAGATCATGTGACTCTCACATGACTTATATTATGCAGGTTGCATGCAATTGGGAAGATGTACAGGACATGTCGGACGAGTCAGACACCCATACCTCATCACCAGCGATACAATTCAGAAATAAACTGCTACACGCTCTCCTCATGCTACAGGTAAATTTAAAATAAATAATGAATATTAATGAATATTGATGTATATTGATGAATATTAATGAATATTAATGGATATTGATGTTTGTAGGAAGGCACTGGGTTACAAGATCTTGGCTTGTTGCATCATCGAACGTATCAAGACTCACACGGATCATTGATATTCGTATTAGTACAGTATATTGAGGTATGTGATATACATGTAGAATCAAGTACTGTATTACATTTATTTCCTCTTAGGATTATAAAAGCGCTCAAGGTGTCAGTACTAAATGGTCTAGTATGGCCAAGCTAAGGCGTAAGTTTGCTCAGTTCGAAAGCAGCGGAGGATCTGATCATGTGACTGACGTCTCAGCTGACCAGCTGCTTAGAGATGTACCTAATATAATCCATCATCACACCCGTTGCTCACACGTATTACAAAGGTGCGGCAATATAACAAAGAGTTTTAATTAATAGTATTAATACTAATGTTTAGGGGGCTTTATTTGGGATACCTCAAGGCCCGAGTGAGCAGTTCGGTTGGTTCTATGACTGTTGTTACCTCAGGTACCTTACCTAACGTACTGCCTCATTATAAGATAAGAGAGAATCCTAACATCTCTCAGAGTGAGTGGCTCTGGCTCAATTCACTACACAAGAAACCTGAGGTGATTCATTTACACTATTTGAATGTACTTATTATTTTATTTATTTATTCATTTATTTATTTTTATTTATTTATTTTTATTTTATTTATTTGCTTATTTTTTGTTTATTTCTAATTTATTATTTTTTATATTTATTTTTATTTTTTATTTCTTTATTTATTTATTTATTTATTTTAGGCTGCATCCACTACTAGCTATGACAATCAAGGTCCCCAGTCGCTTCAAAAAATATTATGTTCTTCAGTCGAACATTTCCTTAACATTTTAGGCATTGACCCAGAGGTACTCATTAATATTCATTATTATTAACTTTAATCATTATTAATAGGAGACTAGCCAGACCCAGTTATACACAGAGGAAGTAATTGAGCTGAACGAGAATGTGACGTTTCTCTTATTAATGCCCTCCCCAGAGAACGTGTGCACTCCACCTGGTAGCTCGGACCAGTTTGACGGTCCCAGTTTTAGTCACACACCCATTGCCACCTTTGAATTATGTGAGCAGTGGAAAGTCTTCAATATCAACTGATATCTTCTTCTCTCTTCTCTAGTGCAATTATACACTTATCAGAGACCGTTCATGCTTAAATTTGCACAAGTCTCTTCTCGTTTAGACATTGAGCTCCTCATTACGCAGAAGAAGAGAAGAGAGGTGAAGTTTTTCCCAGTCATATCCATCATTATTCGTGCATCATCTCTCATGATTATAGGCTTTTTCAAAAGCTGAGATAGCAGCTGCAAAAACTCAGCATGAGCAGTTACAAAAAATCCAAGAGGTATGTAACACGAGTATTCGTTATTTGATGGTTTGCCCTCTACCCTGTTGCTAGGACACAGAGCAGGCCTGGAAGCAAATGAGGTGGATTGAGACAGCTTTAAAGATCGGACGAGAGACAGAGGTGGATAACAGACTGATTGTCAAAGAGTTAAGAAAGAAGTTCTTTAAGATGACACGCTCAAGCACTTCGTCGTCTCTCTCTTCCTCTACCTCTAGTGCTGGCGGGTCATTCTCCTCACCTATTAAAAAATGTTAGCTCAGTCCGCATGTACATGTACACTTTGAGTGATTTAAATAAAGATTGTAATATGTACATGTATTTTTGTAGCAATGAGCCTTTATTATGTAAGTTTGCTTCCTTTAGCTGTTGCCAATGTTTTATCTGCACCTAACGTTAACCAGTACATACGGGTTTATCCTGCTTATGAGACTGGTCTATCCAAAGGAACAAGTGTCAAGGTATGCACATTTCTCTACTTCACATCTGAATCTTTACTGTGGAAACTTTACAGATATTTTTAACGCCTTTGACTGTTACTGACGAAATCATACTTGTAACTGTTGAGCAGCTGGAAAAGGCTAGAAAAGAGAAAGGGATACCTGGGTATGGTATTCGTGGGCGGGATTTAGCCGATTTCTATCTTGTTGCCATGCTGCCTGGTCATCGTGAAGAGGTTTTGGCTCCAAGGTTCACTCCACTTCAGCTGCTGAATTATTCGTCAAAGTATAAGTTTATTCTCAGACGATCGATGGATCAACAAGCCACGGACGTTTAAGCTGTTACAGTGCAGCCTTTCTCTCTTTTTTGTATCATTTTTATAAAAAGAAAACATGTCCTTTATTGTTATTATTATTATTATTAATCTTGTTATGCTATTAATTTTACAGGTCAACTTCTACTTATCATTCTACTTTATTCTATTGTTTATAATTATAGTTTGTAGGGAGTAATTATAGCAGTGCAACCTACACATAGTCATCATCATTTAAACTGTCAGTGATCTGAAACACTTCACTAACAGATCTATTCAAGTTAAGTGAAGTAACGTTTTCATAATCTGGATCTGTTTCTGCTACTATCTCTCTTTCAAGGCTTTCAGTTGCAAGATTGCTCTGAATGTATGAGTAGTAATTCTCATCATCACTTGTGCTTTCAGGAGGAGAAGGGAGAGGAAGGTTTTGTTGAGTTTGCTGTTGTTCAACAATAGTTATGTAGTATGGCAATTCATTTTCTTCCCTTCTGGCAGCAGACTTTGAGTTTCTGTTCTTTATCCTCCTAAAAATGATAATGCAGAAACCTAATATGGCAATGAGGATTAGACTGATGAGGAGGAGAATAGTAATCAGTACTGCTACTAGAACATTAGTATGATATTCTCCAGGGCTTGTTGACGTTGGTTGAGTGATATATGTAGTGCTGGTTAAGAAATATGATGATGACAGCATTGGTAGTGTTTCTTCCAAAGTCTTGCTCTCTATATGACAAGATAAATGCATAATAATGAATGTAATGAATTGTTGCTGGTTTACTGCTAGTTGCTGATGTACCACTAGTCCTGGAAACAGCAATACTGGTATTAGCAGTACTAATGCTCCTGCCAATGGAGTGAAAACTATTGCTTGATGCACTATTTCTTCCTATATATATAGCAGACTAGCAGTAGATTATGCTTAATTGGCAGTACTGTTGGGTTTTCCACTGCTTTTTGCATGCCAGCTTAGCTTGTTCAGTAGAGCTTTGTAAAAACCCTGATGCATGTTGCATAAAAATTTTGAGCTCATTCCAATCAAGTTTGGATTTTTTACAAATTTTTTAAAGTTGCTCCAAAATTAGACAAAAGTCCTTGTATAAAGGTACAGGGACTATTGCCAGATTTTGCCAAAATTGAAGAAGAGAGAATTCTCAATTTTTACAATTTTTAAGATGCATATACATGTATTTATGTTGTGTAGAAAGTTTAAGCTCATTCTGATGAAAAATGAATTTTTAAAGCTTCTTCAAAAACCATTCACATTGTAGTGCTTGTTGGCTCATGAAGTGTGCTGTTTAGCTGGCTTAGCACACTTTGTGGGAAACCCTGCAGTACTTGAATTACCTGATACACTTATTACTGGAGTTACCAATGGAAAATTATTATTTCTGTTACCAAGCATCCATGAAGAAACTGTTGATAAAGATCGACCCATGACAGATACATATTTATTACGTGGCCCGTTGTCTTTTTGCACAAGAAGACTCAACCTGTCTGAGGTAAATATACCAAAAATGTCACCTTCTTTAAACTGGAGTGGAGTGTTAAGAGTCAGTTCATAAAGATTAGTACCAATCATTGTAGAATTCCTAATATCAGCTAAACTAGATCCTTTTTTAGTGTATAAGAAACTTGAAAAGTGCCATATTTGGAACTCTGGCCATTGAGCTGGAAACCAGTTATTGTTGATGTCTTCTGCAGGTACAGCTCCATAGATCCATTTATTGATAGACCCATTGCAAGTAAATTTCATTTGTGGAAATATGATTTGCAGTCCAGATCTTATGGTTTTGGTAATCTCAGATAGTAAAAAGTACTCTTTAATAATTGAAGCATTGATTGAATTGGTACTATTAACACAGTATCCATCTAATGATAGTAAAATAATTCAATGATACAGTGAGTGTGTGTCTTACCTGTTACTGGATATACTAATATCAACTGGTCAGTAGTTGAAGGACTACTCAAATCAATTTGATATTGATTAATTGAAATCTTTTGACTACTCATGAAATTGATTCCGTCAATGTAGCATACTGCAACAGCACACTCTTTTTTTTCTGGTTGTGATACAGCTAACAGGTCTCCACTCATTACTGGTATAGGAGGATTGAGTGGATATTCAAACACTCCATTAGTACTGACATTAGAGGTAGAGTAATAGATGACTCTTTCACTACCAGCCACTGCATAGTATTGATTAGGATTATTGCTGTTCCTTCTAAAGGTCCGAATGCTAGGAAACAAATCACGAGTGCCAGAGTTTCTTTCAACATCAATACCCAATACAAGACTGGTAATGCTAGTAGATGAACAGTTGAACTGATACTCTTCAAGTATTCTAAGTTCATTGCTTAATTTTGTTTTTATCAAAGTTTGCACTTTATTTTCAGCTCTATCTGTGATCAAAGGTAGCTCCATGAATTTATTTGTACATTCATGCACCTCCAGACCTGTCATAAGCAACTCACAATATAAAGTAGCCATACAGTTCATCTTGTACCTTGGTTTAAAGTCCAAAGAAGTAAGAACAAAACCAACACTAGAAGCATCTTCACTCTTGAGAAAGAACAGCAAAATAAAGGACAGATATCCTACTATAGTTACACCTCTTAACACTTAATGGGTAGAATCATCAGCTATGTTTATTCATTACTGCTGGCATGCATGTAGGCTTGTGTTCTTCAATAATATTTGTTATAACTCTACAACAATATTGAAGACACATTACTCATATAATTATTAGCAATATAGACATAAAAAATTAGAGCAAGTTGTCATTGAGGCACTTCGATATCTGGGATAGAAGGCATTGCTCCTTGCTTAGTGGCACCATTAATTTGAGCAGCTGCTAAATAAACCGGGTTCGGCAGCAAACTGGATCTATTTGGAGGAGGACTGCTGGAAGATGCCCCTTGCTTAGTGGTATCATTATTAATTTGAGCAGCTGCTACATAAACTGGGTTTGACACCATACTGGATCTATTAGTATCTGGAGGAGGACTGGAAGATGCCATTGAGCTGTATAATTCATTCTTTAGCACTAAATCATGATCCTTATTAACAACTTGTGCATGATAGACATCCACACTGTTTGCACTGTATGCTATATTGACACTAGTTTTTATCTGTTGCCGCTTCCTTTTCATTGCTATGTAATAACCAATGACTGATGTGAACACCACTGATACTAGTACTGCAATTAGAATGACTAGAACAGCAGCAACAATGCCACCTGTTGGATTTGATGCCGCCTCTGGTAAAGTTGGAAAAACAAACGAAGAATCTATTTATAACAAATAAAAGAAATTATATTTACACCATACGTAGCTTACTAGTCAAACTGGACATGTAACTACTGTGTATAATTACCACATTGCTAGTATATGTAATACTGCTGGTAGATAAAGTTTTGCTTGAAGCAGTGGTACTCATAGTATTAGCTGTAAATGAAGAAACGCTTGAGGACACCATTGATGTTGTAATGGTAATACTCGTAGTGGAAGTGCCTACATAAAAAAATGAAGCTAATAACAATGGATGTAGTGATTTTACTTATTTCAACTGTTACTAGTGGAAAGTCGTTAGCTCCTTCTGTGTGTAGAGCATCAGTAATTGTTGATAGAGGGTTAGCAGCACTGCCATCAACACGCAAGTTTATTGGCCCACTCTCTTTTTGTTCGTATAAATATACCTGATCTCTTGGAATGTGCACACCAAATATGTCTCCTTCTACAAACTGTAATGGGGTCTGAGGAACAAACTGATAGAGATTAGTACCAATCATTGTATTAGCATTAACTAAACTAGATCCTATTTTATTGTAATTGTTTGTGCCTTGTTGACGCCATATCTGAAGCTCTGGTTCAGCTTGATTTCCATTCCCAATGCCTCCAAAGATCCATTTTGTGATTGTTCCATTGCAGGATAACACAATCTCTGGATACAAGAATTGCCTGTCTTGATTAGGTAGCTTTGATTCATGAATCATAAGAGCATTTTGTTTAATAACTGAAGATGTTATTAAATTGGTGCTATTAACACAGTATCCATCTAATGATAGTAAAATAATTCAATGATACAGTGAGTGTGTGTCTTACCTGTTACTGGATATACTAATATCAACTGGTTTGTTGTTAAAGAATTTCTTAAGTCAATTGTATTGTCATTTAACATTTCTGAATTACTTCTGAAACTAATTCCATCAATGTAATAGACTCTGACAACACTATCACGTTGTTCTGGTTGTGATACAGCCAACAGGTCTCCACTCATTACTGGTATAGGAGGATTGAGTGGATATTCAAACACTCCACTAGTACTGACATTAGAGGTAGAATAATAAATAGTCCTCTCACTACCAGTCACTGCATTGTATCGATTAGGATTATTACTGTTCCTTCTAAAGACACGAACGCTAGGAAACAAATCACGACTATTAGTGACTCTTCTGACATCAATACCCAGCATAAGACTGGTTATGCTAGTAGATGAACAATTAAACTGATACTCTTGAAGTATTCTTAGTTCATTGTTCATGTCATTCCCTTGTTCCATTACTTGTAATCTTTCTGCTCTGTATGTCACTAGTGACAGATCCATGAATCTCTGTGCACATACTTGCTGTCCCTGGACCTGCTGTAGAATACCTAGCAAGGAGTGATGTTAAAGACCAAAAATAAGCAAATTTCAATTACTAGGGCTGAATAAAAAGGTACTAAGAAAAAGAATAATGTCAACTAGTAACAGCTTCATCATCGGCTTGTCAAAGGAGTGGCTTACAATTGGAAGTTGTAGCTATTTTAACTATTGTACAAATATTCTATATTAAAACAACTGACAGTGAACAATACAGCAGCAGCATACTATCAGTCAGTAGCAACTGATTGACAGTTGCTAATACAGAGTAGCATGTTTATAAATACAAAATTATAAATTATACACATTATGGATGTTAATTCATCTTGGTCTCCTTTGTTCTATATGTATTCTTCATCTTCATTAGTTATGGTAGCTGTGGCACTTGAGTCGACTGCAGGTTCATCTGAAATTGTTGAGTACAACTGGTTACTTAGCTCACCAGCAACTCCATAGCATTGATTTATTTCTGTTGTTATTTCAATGTCACTTTGAAACTGAATTGATTCATATTGCGGCTCATTTGAATCATCATTAAAAGTGACACCTCTACTTGTTGGCTTCCTCGTCCTTTTAAAAACTATACAAAGGCAAATGATAATCATCACCATCACAATGAGGAGCATTCCGATTGCAATACCACCAAACATGGCTACGAGTACATTTAAGCCTTCTTCACCCGTTGGAGTTGGAATAGTACTTGTTGATAGTGTAATTGTGGTTTCAAATGATGATGAAACAATAGTAGAGCCTAAAACATGTACAATAAATATAGAATGCATGCTACAAATAAATCCTCACCACTTAATGTTTCAGTGCTTGATTCAGAGTTGCTACTAAAACTAGTGGTAGTAACACTTGTTCTGTATGAACCTAAAAAAGAAATTAAAAGTACATTAGAAATACAAAAGCAGTACTTGAATTGATGCTACTAGTGCTCAAACCACTTGTTATACCAGTGCTGCTTTCTATTAAAAATAATAGATACGTGGATCATAATACCTAATGGAAATCATACCAGTTATGGTCGTATAAATAGTTCCTTTAGAAATGTAAGTAGATATATAAGTTGAAACTGCTGCTGAAACAGAGTTTCCACTGAAGATGCAACCTATAGGCAAAAGTAGGCATAGAAATTAGTTTTATACACTCACTAACTACAGGTGTAACAAGGGGGAAATTATTTTCTCCCTCTTCTAAAAGAAATAGACTTTCAGGAACTGATCTTAAATTAACAGGTCCACTTAGTTCTTGCTCATGAATAAGAATCTGACTTGAGTTAGCTCTTGGCACATAAAGGCCAAATATATATCCTTCAAAAACTACCTCTGGGAACTGAGGAACAAACTCATAGAGATTAGTACCAATCATTGTATTAGAACGAATTGTAATAGTGCTAGTTTTTCTAAAACCATTCTGCCCTATTCGGTTCCAAATTTGAAACTCAGGTGCTTGATTGCCATTCAGAAGTATTGCACCAAAGATAAATCTATTAATGAGTCCAGTACAACCAAATGTCATCTCTGGATACAAGCGCTCTATGTCATCACCTACAAGTTTTGATTCGTGCAATTGCAGAGCACGTTCTTTAATAAATGACACATTGATTGAATTGGTACTATTAACACAGTATCCATCTAATGATAGTAAAATAATTCAATGATACAGTGAGTGTGTGTCTTACCTGTTACTGGATATACTAATATCAACTGGTCAGTGACTACAGAAATATCTTGGAAAGATGAGACTTCTGGTGTTAGATCCTGGCTGCTAATAAAACTGACTGCTTCGTTATTAACGTAATAGATTCAAACAACACTCTCATTTTCATTCAGCACTGATATGGACAATAAATTACCTCTGAAGACTCTTATAGGAGGATTGAGTGGATATTCAAACACTCCACTAGTACTGACATTAGAGGTAGAATAATAAATAGTTCTCTCAGTGCTGGCCTTTCTTTCATATTCACCATACTCATTTAGCTTAAATATTTGGACTTTAGGAAAAACGTGACGATCAGTATCAGTTCTGACATCAATACCCAATATAAGACTGGTTATGTTTGCTGATGTACAATTGAACTGATACTCTTGAAGGACTCTTAGTGTATTATTGAGAGGATTTGCAGCTATTTCACTATTTTGACCAATTCTTTGTGCTCTGTATTCTACGAGTGACAGGTCCATAAATCCATGTCCTACAGCTCTTGCAGCAATATCTGAGAAAAATATTAAAATTCAAAGGATATAAATGATTTATTTACTTAGATATAGCAAGCAGCAGAAAAGAACCCAAACCATGGTCAGAGTAGAGCTAATTATTACGTATTACTGATAGGAGTGGCCAATTTATGTAACTTAATACTTAACATTATTATGCATGCAAATTTTTAAAATTGTACTCGCACCACGTTGCATCATAGATCTAATCAGTGATAAAAACTTAAGTTCAACTTAAAGCATTCAGTGAACAATGAGCATTCTCAGAGAAAAACAACATCATTATGAAATGCTTCAACGAGTTAGTTTTAATCTATGTCTAAGAAATAAAAATTGGCAAATCACATGCAAACAATGCCAGCAACACAGGAAGAAACACACACAAACAAACAAAGATGAAATAGATAACGAGATCGCGCCCCCGCCGCCTCAAAAAGTTGTTACGATAGTAATTAGACTAGGTTTCCATGACAACAGCAATGTGGGCGTAGGCTCAAGGGCGGGGTGTTGATCACGTGACCTAACTTAAACCCAACCAAGTCTCCATATACCCACCAGCAAGAACTCATACCACAGAGTGAGCTCAAATTGTACATTCTCCTTCAGATCTAGACTCCTCCTTCTCTCCTCTCTCTCCATTCCTTCCAGTAGAGCAATAGGTTTGAGCTGCAGGAAGAGGTTATCCACTTAGACTGTTGGAACTGGTCCTTATTGCAAGACTACCCTGAGAGAGGGGAGAGGCTCAGCTATGGGTAATCTTCCCTCTCATGTGGCAGGAGACGATGATCTTGTCGATTTTGAACTAGAGAAAGCTGTAAGTCTCAATCAATGTCCCTTGACGCCATTTTTACTCTAGACACAGAAGTCTGAAGACCAAGATAGAGGTATGAGGCTTGGATGGGTATCATCAATGCAGTGTTGTAGATTAATAGATTTCGTCTCATTATATTTGACCATACCCATTGGGTGTTGCATATTTCATTTTATTATTTTCGTTATATATAGAGGAGAATTTATTTGATTTCAGTATTCTCACCAACATAGAGGCGCTACATAAAGCAATAGCTTCGTTAAAGTGAGTCATTTATTATTATTATTATTATTATTATTATTATTGTTTTCCTCAACTGAGAAATCAGTTATTACTATCAATACACTTCTTATTAATAATTATTATTATTGGCTGGCCTTTTTTTACACCTTATAATGAGAAAGAAATGAGACTAATGAGTATAATCTTAGTCTATAATTTTAATCCCCTCCCCTCCTCTCTCCCTTCTTTCTCCTCTTATTCCCAGAGAGCTACCAACATCAGAGATACAAAGAAAGAAGAGTGACATAAGACAATGGCTGAAAGGGCTCAGTGACAGAGGAGAGGTAACAAAGAGAAATTTGTACTATGTAGAGTTGTTATGAATGTACATGTATACATGTACTTTTATCAATATGCTTCTTGTTATGATTAGCATTAAAAGCCTGTGTGTATTTTTATGCTTTTGTTTAGAAAACTATAGGTATTGCACAGTTTGTTGACTTCTTGACAAGTAAAAGCATCAGCAGAGAAGAAGCTGTAGAGGTTAGGGACCGTTTCACTATTAAATGATATGCTGTTATTGTTTTATCATCATCATCATCATTATTTTTACATTGTTATCATTACCATCTTCAACATTATTATAATTCCCCTTGTTTTATTTCTTCTCTCTCTCTCTCTCTCTCTCTCTTATATTTAAGTTTTTTAATGAGCTTGATCCGGATGGCGATGGAAATATCGAAGTTACATTTGTACTACAGGTAAATTTATTTAATTAAAAAGGACATACTTTAAATATTTATTGGTATGTAATATACAATTAAAATGTACATGATACAAGCATGTGCATGCTGTCTATTATTATTATTGTTTTCTTGAGTAGATGCTAAAAGATAAGAAGGATCAAGATTTGAAAGGCGCCTTGGTACCATGCAACATGCTTCCAGGTAACCAAATAGCCATTATTATTATTATTATTATTATTATTATTATTATTACATTGATTGTTTGTATGTTTATTATTAATTCACAATATTCTAGGCTATGTTGATATTTATTTGACTGAGAAGTCAAGCGTTTATCCAACTAACCTGGGACTTGAAATAACTAAAGTAACCCTCTCTCTTTCTCATACTTCATTTTGCTGCTTTCTCTCCCTTCCTTAGTTCCTCCGAAGGCATAGAGTTGATTCCTCTCATTTATCATCGTCAGTTGCTCTCAGTCAGATGAGCAATATCCTAGAGTCAAGAGAGAGGCTAGCTAACGGCCGATTCTTTTCCTTCAAAGAGAAGAGAGAGGACAAAATCTCTCTTGAAGATCAAGAGAATGGAGAGGAGGAAGAGGGTCACAGTAAAGTCCTTGTTTCTAAGTGTTACAGCAGTATTGCTGTCTCCTCTAATGAGAGAACAGCGTCAAAGTGAGTGAGTATGTTTGGGTGTAGTTATATCAAGTGTTGCATAGTTTGACTGATAATTCTATGGAGACGTATTGGCAATCGAATGGATCACCACGTACACACTGGATTAGGTAATATATCTTTATCTGCAAAATAATAGTTATACACAATATAGTACATGTACTCTTAAGTTTTAAATATGTAGGTTTTGAACATAATGTAGAAAATTTTAGCTGGTTTTCAATCACAATTTTTTTGACCTAGTGAACGTTCAAAAAACTTATGATTGACAGTTACATAATCAATGTTCTTATAATTATTTTCTCTTTTCCTCTCTCTCTCTCTCACTCTTTTAGAGTTCAAATGTTGTCTGGGATTAGATTAAAGAATTTCTCAGTTGGTCTCTCAACCTCTGATGACAGTTACATGCCAAAGACAATAGCCGTATCTGTTGGTAACTCACCCTCTAACCTTAAAGAAATCAAGCAATACAGCATACCAAGGTACCCTCTATTAATAATAATACTGTACATGTACATGTGTTAAATGTACATGTACATACTCGTGTGTACATGTGGATTGTATGATATTTAATGTATGGTCATGGTATGGTACGTGTGATAGTGTGTGGTTTTTTGTTTCGCTTTCTATTTTTGTTTTTTTCTCATCTTAAATACTGCATGTACATGCATACATGTACATGCAGTATTTAATTGTATTATTATTATTATTATTATTATTATTATTATTATTATTATTATTATTATTATTACAGAGAGTTTACTGGTAAATTCACTCTCCTCGGCTCATTATGCTCTGAGTATCGGTACATACAACTCAATATTCGTGGTTGCCATAGTGACGGCTGCGACACTCGCGTAAGACAGATTTACGTCCAGGGGTACAGGTGAGTGGGCGGAGCATTTTTTGTTGCCATAGCAACGTGCTTGTTGCCATAGATACAAGAGGGAGAACCTCCCAACGGTGATGGACGGTTTGGTGATATTCTATTTAAACCTGATCTCCTCAGTAGTAACTACAGCTATACCACTGACCCCTTCGCTTAGGGACACCATACTGGGCCACTCAAAGTAAGAGAGAGAGAGAGAGGGAGGGAGAGAAGGAGGAATTAGAGAGGGAGAGGGAAGTTAAAAGTGTACATGTACATGTATGTAAGATTCGTCATTTTTATTCTCTATTTTTTCTTTTTTTAGGAATTGTTTCAGATACCTTCCTCCTCTTTCTCTCTCGCGAACATCCACACAAAAACCTGAGTTTCTATCAACCACTTTAACTAACGAGATGGACAAATTTATAAAGACACTCTGGTAAGACATATATTTATTTATTCATTTTATTTATTTATTATTTCTAGTCTGCCTGGAGATAATTTTGTCTCTGTTGACACAGAGTCTCTGGCCATATTGATAGAGTTTTCGATCATCACTGGTAATTTTAACAATATACTGGACTCACTTCAAATACTGATGGGTATGACCCTACTCGTTAATAAATAATTAAAGGTTTCTGTTTTTTTTTGAATATATGCAGATAATGTGGCCCTTGATTTGGAGCTCTGCCCTTTGATGATGAAACTAGAATCTTTGGAAATTTCAAAGTTTAAGAGACATGGTATATTTTTGAATTTCATCTTTATTAATCTCTTTAATTTCCTTTGTCTCTCTCAGCCTCGCTGTTAAGATTTGATGTTGTTAAATGTGATGCTGATACAGTTGAGGGTCATCAAGTTAATAACATGTTCACTAATGAGATGGCAGGAACTGGAGGTATGCATACACTTCATCCCTTTTATTACCTCCTCTTCTTTGTACTGTACGTCTAGTTCCATTTAAGACTGTGAAAGGTAAAAATGTTGTCAATATTATTGTCAAAGGTAAAAAGTCAGTCAGTTGGCTTCAAGTTGTTAAGATACACATGAAAGTAAGTGTAAATGTAACATTTACCCTCTTTAAACTTTGATCTATTCTAACACCTTCTGTCATGTTTTTATGTACATGTACATGTATCTACACTGTATTTTGTAGGTGACTAGTGGTGATACAGGGGCAAGGGCTGGCCTCCTATTCCTCCTTGATGTTGAAGACCCCAAGGACCCAACGGTATTAGAAAAATATGTACAATACGACACATTCACTGTTGATGATTGGAATAAAATGTCTGAGGCTGATAGAATGTCTGGGAAAGGGCCCGTGGCTTACTTTGCACCAGAGAAGGAATGGTAAGGAGTACAATCTTCCACACATTTACAAACGAGCTGATTTTTGAAGAAAAAGTAAAGGCTATAGCCCATGGTTTTTTCCAAAAATGGCTTTAAAATTACCCCCAATTTTTATTACATTTTTTGATACACATTGATGCCCTTATGCTATGTAGAAACTTTCCACATGTTTATGTACATGCATGTACATGTACATCTTTTACTTTATTCAGGAAAGAGTCTGAAGTGACCATTGAGGGGACATTGCCACCAGCAAAGGTATCATGATGATTGTTAAGATTACTTTTCTGGTGTATATACATGTACATGTTCTTATGTTAATTGTTTAGAAAATTTTGAGGGTTTTAATTTTTTTAATTTTATTTATCATATATCTAGTATTTACTGCTCAAGTTTCTGTCTCAAGAGTCAAGTGATCAGATTGCTGTTCAGTGCATTAAGATCAAAGGATATGAAATATCAGAGCAACTGTACAAGAGCAATGAACTACTAAGGAACATGGTCAATATAAATGAATAAACACACACAGTCATACTCTCTTTCCTCTCTCTTTCCCTCTCCCTCTCTCTCTCCTATGATATATAGGTACTCAAATTGGATATACCAACAGACCCTATGCTGCCATTTCAAGGCAGTAAGGTCTTGCTAAGGATATTGATATTCCTATGTCACATGTTACATGATCTTGGCATCATACACACCAGTAGGACTAATGCTTACTTAGACCCCGAGACATTCGAGGTACAGTACTATAAAGCATAAACTGATTGACTAAGAGTTTTATGTAGTGGTAATTTAAGAGGAATAACTTGAGCAGTTTGATAACCATTTAATAAAATAAAATTTACTGTTTCGAGCCATTTTATGCATCCAGTTGACCACAAATTTTCTAAAGTTATAAATCTGACTTCTCCAAAATTATCCATTATAAAATACAACTCATGTATACATCTATGTAATTGTATTTTTTATTTTATTATTTCTAGGAAAGTCACGTTTCAACTGAGAGCCTCTCCCTAGAGAAGATATGGAGTCTCTACGTTCCTCTTAGTTTGAGGTAAGGGGTTTGGTCATTGGGCGTGGTCTTTAACCCTCTCATTTAGTGGAGACGGTCTCATGGAGCAATGTACTCTAGCGACACTGTTACTGATCAGACGAGCCATCCCTTTCCTCAAAGCCACACCCACTAATAAACTAACTAGAGGAAACAGCAACGGAACTAATAATAATGAGACAAATAAGGAAGGGGGCGGGGTTAATAACGAAGACACGCCCTCCTCAATACCCTCAGCAGTATTATCTCATCTTTGCTCATTAATGGATAATCCTGATACTGATCCATTCGTACGGACATTAGCACAGGATATTATTAAAGCGGGCGTGGTTGTGTTTTTCCCTGGCTCAAGAGCAAGACGGGGGTACCTCCTTGAGATGGTAAAGCTTGTCCTCACTGGGGAACAGCCTGCCTCGTGGTGGCTCAAGTTTGAAGCTTTGTGTGGCTACTTCAGTAAAACCAATACAAACTCATTACTTGAACTAACCTATGATTCTGCTAAGGTAATGGAAGGAGAGTTTACACTGTGGATCATCACACTCTTTAGTTGTTTGTTTGTTGTTGTTGATTGTTTTTTGTTTTTTGTTGATTGTTTCTTGTTTGTTGTTGTTTTTGTTGTTGATTGTTGTTGTTTATAGGTAGCTGAGACTGACCCTGTTGCAGTAATGGAGATACTAAAAACAATAATCACAGTTGCAGCCACAGAAGTAAATGATATTATTATTATCATTATTATTATTATTATTATTATTATTATTATTATTACCACAGGCTGCTAATGATTTGAGTGAAGGAGCTAGGAGTCATCCTGATGACCTGGTGAGGTTACTGTGTGCAATGCAGAGTAACCTCTTCTACTGGATACGCTACCAACTGACGCTCAGTAAAGAAATGGAGGAGCAGGATTGGAATAAGACAAAAGAAATCGTTCACAAACTATTAACTAATTGTTAGTTGGTGGACAAAAAGAGATTTATCTGTAGATTGCACTTCTTCCATTACTAGATGTTAGTGAGATATTTAGTAACTGTCACAGTTTGCTGAAGAAAGTTGAAACCCTCGAAAAGATAGAAGTAATTCACATCATGTGTACGTGCATGTACATGTACATGTATTTATACAATTAGGAGTCAGTTTTAGAAGCTTTGAGAAGATCACTAGTTGGACAGGCACTACCTGAAATGGTGAGTATTCTGTTCCTTTCCTCCTCCTCCTCTCTCTCTCTTTTGATAATTATTCTCTTGTCTCTCAGTTAACATTTCTCAGTACTCTCCTATCTGAGGACATTCCAGTCATTTCTTTGTTAAACACTCTAAGTCCTCTTATTGGATTGCTCAATTCGTTGTCACGGAAACTGCCCCACGTCTTCTTGAGTCTTGGATCAGAAGAGCTCCAGTGTTCGGAGGAGAGGGAGCTAGCAGTTTGGACGAGGGAGTCACGCCATAATTACGACAATAATTCTAGAATTAACGAGGTAATAATTACACCAAGTTATCAATGCTTAACATTATTATTGTTATTATTATTATTATTATTTTATTATTATACTTTTAATAGGAGTTTGTATGTCCAGGAGCTGAGAGATTTCTGATTGAGTTTGATAGTCGATGCTGTACAGAGAGACGGTAATTAGATGTATCTACACGTGATGTGATCTTTATGTCTTGATCTGCACATGTAGGTATGATTATCTCCAGTTTACTGATTCAACTGGTGAAAAGAAAACATTTGATGATACGTATGGATCTGACCACTGGCCCTCTGTAAGCCTCTACTGATTAATATACTGAGAGTTATTGTCTCTTTACTCTAGACCTATGAATTCAAGGGACCTAAGCTCAGCTTTTACTTTTATTCTGATGGGAGCAACAACTTCTGGGGATATCGCTTCACAGTTAAGAACTATAATAAATAAAATATTTATTTTTAAAAATCTATTTTCAGATAAAAGCATTCGGTAAAGGATTCCCTCCTCTTCACTGGCTCTTTGATCTACAAATCAACTTAACAAGAGCATTTGGACTTGCTATATCTAACGTCTTGGGGACCAAAAAGAGCAGTAAGTGGTGGGAGGGGTTAATTAGAGGTGGGAGGGGCTAATTAGTAGGCGTAACATGATTATTCCGATTCATGATGTTTCGTTAACATGTATAGGTATTACTCCTGTAAAAGGCAGTTCCAATAAAGAAGAGGAAAAGAAAGAGATGGAGGCCCTACTCCGCAGCAACTTTTGGAAGACCCTTTTAAGAGGAGGGTACCAAGTTGGGAAACTCACTCGGTCTCTCTCTGGAGCTCATGTACGTTGTAATAGCAAATGTTGTCACATGACTGTAGTGTGTGTTTGTGTTAATTTTAGGCTACAAGTCCGACTGACTCTGAAGTGTACTCTTATCTTTATGAAATGGCTGAAGAGGAAGAGACCGTCCATCCATTGATTGAAATGTAAGAGAAAGAGAGAGGAAGGGAGGGAGAGAGAGAGGGAGAAAGAAGGAACTTGTTTTCCTTGTCTCTATTATACAAAAAGACCTCTTATTTTACATATTTTTATTATTTTTTATTTATTTACTTTTAGCTGTAGAGCTAAAAAAGGTGGCCCGTTTTTTGGCGGTAATTTGGTTGATAGAGCCGTGTCAGCAGTTTTTGCATCGCTGATCTGGCACTCACAAGAACTGAGAGAAGAATTAACTGCCAATCGTAAGAACTACCTGTATAGCACCAACAACTACATTGTGTTCTCAAATAGCTTCCTTGCATCTGCACAATAAATAATCTATTATAATTATTCTCCTCTCTCTTTCTCCTAGTATCATCCTCCAGTTCACCGAAGGCTTCTCACGGTATTCTTGATGCTTTTGTAGCTGCTGAGAGTCTCCGCAGGGAGCTAGTAAGACTAAGGAATATCAAAGTGAAGCCATTATCTATTATTATCTTTAGGTTGAAGCTCGTCAGAAGCTTGTGGAAGCGAAGGAAAATGAGAAAGAAGCCAACAGTCATACAAGCATTGATGAGGACGAGCCGGTCAATGCCTGCAGGGATAAAGCATTTTATCTTCTTAAGTTTGCCGGCCTCTCTCGTGTCTCCTCCTCCTCCTCCACCTCATTAGTTTCCAGTGGAGGGAGCAGTAGTACACTGGCTGACGATCGTCCTGGTAGCCCGGTAATACGGCGGCCATCTTGGGGTCAGAAACACTCCTGGAGGTGGCAGAGAGTCTCCAGCGTGGTATCAACTGTCAGTCACATTAAACAACAGGTGGGTATGGCTATTATTATTATTATTATTATTATTATTATTATTATTATTTAATTAGGTATCTCGTGAGGGGCGGGGCTTATCACTAGCGGAGAAACATCCTTCGTTTGATACTGTCCTTAGTTTCGTTAGAAATTCTGTTCTCACAAAGGATAAGATTCATGAACTAATACAAAACAGATCAAAACTGGCCAAAGAACTTTCAGATGCTTACAACATTGCCGCAGAGTTTTTCAAAGTCATGGCTCAATCTGGAGCTATTGAGGTAAGTGGGTGTGGTTGTGGGCGTGTTCTAATATATTCCCCGCCAATAGATCCCACTCTTGGTGTTCCTTCAGAGTCTACTGATTTGTCAGAGGAAGTTCCCATTGTGAGATTTCAATTAAACACGTGGGTGGCATAATCCTCTGATTATTTTTAGGCATTATGGTTTGAGACTTGATGGGTGTGGCTTAGATCTTGAGACCCAGCTCCGTCGCTCGTTTCAAATATTCATCCACAGACTCCTTGATATTATTAATGCACACAAGAAAACCGTTAATCAGATGTCCACGTACGTCTACAGTATATGTATCTCATGTACATGTTTTTCTTCCTTCATAGTGATCCTCAAGATGGCGAAGGTGTTGAAATGGTAAAGTGTGTCTTCTCTCATCTCCTTGACATGTCGTGGCAAGACTATGATCACCTCTTACTGAGGGAGATTGAGCTACCCGAGTATTTATTTAACATAGTCATTAGTGAGTATTATGTACATTATTATTATTATTATTATTATTATTATTATTATTATTATTATTATTATTATTATTTAAACAAAAAGCACAATGTGAAATAGGATTCTCTCTCTCTTTCTTTCTCTAGATTCTTCTTCCTCCGAGGATAAGGTTATCTTGTGCTCATTTCTTCATGAGGAGGACATGATGGCTAGATACAATCATCACATGAAGCTACTGGAGCTTTGGAAGACACTGAAAGATGACAGCGACAAGAACGATGATGAGAAACTCTCGCATTTTAAAGAGACTGAACTAGCCAAAGAAAATCCAAAAGTAGACCAATACTAGTTATTATTCACTAGTTTTATTGGTATTTGCAGGAGACACTTCTCTTTCTTGCCATGCTGGCCGGGAGCCCAACTGTAGGTGGAGTAGGCACACCTCTTTGTGACGGATGTAAACTGGTCCTTGATAATGAGAACAAGATATGGTACAGGAACATGGAGATTGAGGAAAACCTTAATCTCTGTAAAGAATGTTTCTTTGGTAAGGAAGGAGAGAGAGAAAGAGAGAAAGATTTACTTTTTTCTTATAGATGGTACAGGGGAAAGACCCGATTCACATACTCACGAACAAGAGTTTCAACAATTCTGGTTAGGTTTCCTTTTATAATTTATAGTATGTTTTACTTCTTTTCATTCATAGCTCACTTACATGCACTGATTGTGGGCTCTCAATCATTAGTCACAGGTTTCTAAATAAAGCTAACAACAGCAACTACTGCATTGGATGCTTTAGAAAAATTGAGTCAGTTACCATCTAAAGATTTAACCCATAATGTATTATTATTATTATTATTATTATATTTAGGTCTACTGTTAAGGAATGGACGGTGTTCTTATTAGAGGAACATAAAGCTACAGAGAAAGCCAATAAATACTTCACCCATCATGATGGTGAGTGTTGATACATGTGTACTCTATTACTGTTAATTATTTGTTTAAAAGACATATACACGTACATGTACTTGTAATTGTGATATAATTTAATAACTTTACGTGAATTTTTCTTTCTCCAGTTAAAAGTTATAGGTATTACGATCGTTCTATTATTAATATATACGAAGCTTCGAGTGCTTCCTTTTACAATCAGCATCACTCCTGGACCCTATTCTCTTCTCTAGCTCTCTCTATGGCTCACAACCTTAGCTCTGAAGATAAAAACAAAACTAGTAAGAAAGAGAAAGAATTATAAAAATGAAGAATTCTCTTCTAGCCATTTTTGATGAAATATCCTGTACTGTATTATGTTCTTTGGCCTTTATTGTCATTCTCTCTTTATGTAATAGTTTCTGATCCTTCTTACCAGCGATACGCTTGCGAAATATTATTGACCTGCCTACAACTGGTGGCGACTGGATTAAAGTTCTCGCTAGCAGCATCACTGGATGAGCGTAAGGAAATATACATGTACACGTATATGTATAAGATTAAGGTGTACATGTACTTATTATTACTTTTATAGAGTTGGCAAAGAAAGAAGGAGAAGAATTGTCCAAGGAAGAGATAAAGCCTGATAAAGAGGAGGAGGAGGAGGATAAGAATGATGACAGTTTTAAATTGGGACCTGTTGATCCTCGTGTACAGACTGACGCACCTATGGACAACCCCACAAAGACCACACCTACAACCACGCCCACAGAAACCAAGGACACTGTGAAAGGTAAATGAATATTTAATGACTGTAATGTACTTGAGTGCTTCACCAATTGAAGAAGCTACATCCAAAGATGATTCTAAGGATACAGTAACTGATGATACTAAAGGAAAGACTGAGCCACCTGGAGCAACAGGGAATGAGCCAGGATCTAAAGTGGAAGAAAAGAAAGAAGAGGAGGGAAAGAAAGAAGAGGAGGGAAAGAAAGAAGAGGAGGGGAAGAAGGAAGATGAGCCATTGGAACCATCTGAAGGTTATCTTGGATGCCCACTGACTGGAGTTCAGAGATCCTTTGGTAAACTATTCACCAACAAATGCCTGGGACTATTAGCCAGTGTATTACCTAAAGAACTAACTGTAAGTAGTATATTATTAGTATATTATCAGTGTATTATTAGTATATTATTTGTATATCATGTTACTATATAGTTACAGTCATGGATTAGTATGAATGGAAATGTTGAGAGAGTATTAGCAGACACTGTCCTACCAGTACTGCTCCAATTAGCTGGGTAAGAGAGAGATGTTACATATTATTTTTATATCTTTTAAAAAGCTCTAAAGCAATTGGTGAAGCTCGTCAGTTACAATCAATATTAGTCGCTACACAATACATGGCACGAGTCAGCACTGAGGTAATAATACAATGAGTTTGATGTGAATCATTTATATTTGCATGTGGTTTTATTGGTTCATGATTATTGTTTTAGGTTGCTGATCGTGCAATTGAAGTGTTACAGGGTGTGGCTTCAGACCCGGACTCTGAGAGGGTGAAAACCCACGGACAGAAAACAACACAGTTCTTGTTTCAATTGGGAGCAGATCACCTTCAAAAGTAAGTCACTCATTTTGCCGTCTTTAATCCTTATATACTGCTCTTAACTCTCTCTTTGTTCTCTCTCTCTCTCTCTCTCTAGTTCCAATATCTCGGGTGCTGCTACTGTAGCCGAGTGTCTTCTCTTACTCTCTAAGAGTAACGAATGGAAGGCGACAGTTGCCATGACAATAGGTGGTGTGCTTGATGTTCCCCCAGACTCCATTAATCTTCCTGGAATATTTGGACTCTTGGTCATTGCTGGGTTCCCAAAGGTGAGAGGTTTCCGCTAAAGTGTTTAAACTAAACTGTGTCTCATTCCAGCTCTTGAGAGAAGGCAGTATGGTAAAGTGGTCAAAGCATGACGAGGAGTTGAGGGGCGTGGTTGTTGCCCCTCCCACTTTTGAAGACAAGAATATCAGTGTTGTTGAAATAAAGTCTCGAGAAACACTAACGGTAAGTCATTATTTTGATACTATAATATACATTCTTTCTTTCTCTCTCTCTCTCAGATCAAGCAAGGTGATTTTGAGGTAGAGGAGATGCTTAGTGGTTGTATAATGGACACTAAGCTACAGCAGCTCATCAGTCTATTATCTACTGTATTCTCACTCACTGATAAAAGTGAGACTCTATTTTTACTATAATAATTATAGAAATTTTTGTGGCTTGCCTGTTAATTTTTTTGTGCTGCAAATAATTTTTTGCACCACTTTCATGTAAAAATTTCTTAAATATTTTTGTAGCTTCAACACGTCAAGTTGAGAATTGTTGGATATTATCGCTTGTTCTTAAGTCTCTGAGTGTCCTCCTGAAGTCAAATAATTCTGAGATAGTGAAGACAGTCCTGAAGGCCAGTATATTGCCAGACATTGTCAGACTAGCTTGTAAACCAACACAGCTGAACAGTCACTGGAATCTCAGCGATTTGGAGGTTAGGAGAGAGAGAGAAAGAGAGAGAGAGAGAAGTATGTTGTTTGTTTTTTAACTTGTAATGAGCTGAAACTTAAATTTATTTTTTATTAAATGATATAATTTGACGTATGCATTGTACATTTTTCTTGAGTGTTAATATTATAATTAGTCATCATTAGGTGATTAGTATCTCCTGCTATAAGCCAGCTCCTCCTACTCCTCCTCCCACTGTAGAAGACGAAAAACCACCCACTGAGGTTTGATATACTGTACATGCATTACAGCAAACTTACATGTACATGTACTGATGTATTTGTATATCACAGTATATTTATACATGCTCTTGTCTATAGCCTGTAGAGGATGTTGATGGTTCTGTAGCGAAGAAAGATGATGAGTCACAAAAAGGAGAAGAGAAAGAAGATAAGAAACAAGACGAGAGCAAGCCATTGTCTTTAGAACCGCCCGAAGAAAAGGAGAGCTCTTCACCTGCTCCTCCTCCTAAGAGTCAGAAAGAACTCGAGGAAGAATCGGCTCTAAGAGGTCTCAGCTCTGAAGTACAGAGCACGCTAAAGGTAGGACTGAAGAATGATTGGTATTCATGTTAGTATTTATTGTTTTATTTCTTTGATTGCAGATAATGAAGGAAGCATTTCAGTGCACTTTTGCTGTCGTGAGAGCAATGTATGAAATTGCTGGAGAGGACATGGACAAGTTCATTATGAGCTCAGAGAGATTGTAAGCCTGAACTCACCCACCCCCGTGGTTTTTTCAAAAAAATGGCTCCAAAATCACCCCAATTTTTTATTACATTTTCTGATACATATTGATGTCCTTATGCTGTGTAGCAAGTTTGAGCTGATTCCGACTTCAATTTTTCAAGTTACGGCCATTTTAAGAAAACGCCAAAATTCTGAAAAATACCCAAGGCTATAGTCCATGGTTTTTTCAAAAAAATGGCTCCAAAATCACCCCAATTTTTTATTACATTTTCTGATACATATTGATGTCCTTATGCTATGTAGCAAGTTTGAGCTGATTCCGACTTCAATTTTTCAAGTTACGGCCATTTTAAGAAAACGCCAAAATTCTGAAAAATACCCAAGGCTATAGCCCATGGTTTTTTCCAAAAAATGGCTCAAAAATCACTCCCAATTTTTATTACATTTTCTCATACATATTGATGTTCTTATGCTGTGTAGCAAGTTTGAGCTGATTCCGACTTAAAATTTTCAAGTTATGACCATTTTAAGAAAACGCCAAAATTCTAAAAAAATACCCAAGGCTATAGCCCATGGTTTTTTAAGTGGCTAAAAAATTACGCCAAATTTTAATTTTATTTTTTAATATGTACGTGTACTGTATGTCTAATAAAATCTCTTTCCTCATTAGCTATGATACTGATTCAGATTGTCTTAAAGTACCAGATGAAATAAAAGAAGAAGCAAAGAAATGGTAATATACATACACATTATGCAGTCTTATTATTATTATTATTATTATTATTATTATTATTATTATTATTATTATTATTATTATTATTATTATTATTATTATTATTATTATTATTATTATTATCATTATTATTATTATTATTATTATTATTATTATTAGGGGAATATATCAGAAGAGTCTATCAATAAAGGAGACTATACAGGAATACCAGGACAGTCAGGAGGACATGGGAGTGACTGGTTTCCTCTCCGTCGATGTTGACCTTAAAAATATCACAGCAACACGTGAGGACGAAGATGAGCTAAAGAAGAGCATGATACTCATACCAAAGGATAAAGACAAAAAAGTGAATGGAAATTTATACATTTTATGCATCAGTAAAAAAATTGAAAAAATGGCTGCCGTTTTGAATGTATTAAAGCCAAATTTATTACTCAATATCATAACTTATGCTCATTTTCTTCTAATTGTGTCTGATAGAAGTCTAAAGTTAGCAGACAAGAGAAGTCGCACGAGTTGCTCCAGGAACACCTCAAGAAACTAAAAGAAGAAGAGAGCACTACTCCTGATAGAGACTTCATGCTTAAAGTACTCCACAAAAACAAAATGAAGATTAACAACTACTTTAATATTGTTATACATAGTACATGTACATGTATATTATGCTAAATGTTATTAGCCTAGTATAAAATGCATGTAACTACTACTTCATGCTCTATATATCATTATTGTTTTATTCTGGTAGGTAAAGAAAGCTCTGATGGTATTACAGTCTCGCCAGGTTCTTGGTTCGTTGCTGTTGCAATGGCCTCGTGATGGCCCACGTATCAATGCACTACAACTAGGGAGCCTTGATACCACTAGATGGTTCTCACTACTTGACTTCTTATTGAAGGGACTACCAGAAGAAACACAAGATAAAGTAATGCATTATTAGTACAGTATAGTACTATTTGTGCTGTGCTTAAAGTTGTACTAAAGTTTGACTAAGCACCCTGTAGTTAATTTCATCAAAAAATGATTAGAAAAGAATTCTCAATTTTTATAATTTTTCCGATACATATACATGTTTTTATGTTGCAAAGAAAGTTTGAGCTCATTCCAATCAAATTTGGATTTTTTACAAATTTTTAAAAGTCGCTCTATTGTTACATGCATCATTATCATTATCATTAGGTGTTGTATAATGTTGTGAACTGCAGTGAGACTACAGAGCTGATATCACTAGCATTGACTGCTGTACAGTGTATGACTGATGTGGTTGTATCAAGTGAAGAGAAAGTGATACAATATTCAACAGAAAATGAAACAAAGGAAGAGGTATAGCACATGCTTTAAACGTATTGTGTACATAGTTTAAGTTGATTTTCTGTATATGTATACTGTATTTGTGTTCATTCAAATTGTTTCTCCTATAGGGCAAGGTAGTGGTGAGTAATGCTGCTTTCCTAAGACTCGAAATGGAAGTTTCGTATGTCACACACACACTCACACAGTCTGTAATCATTTTTATTTTTCTCTTTGTTATTATTTTGCAGTCGGTCGCTACACGGCTCAGTTACTCTGCATGCTAAAGACTCTTCGGAGTATAATTACTACGAGGAGCAAGACAAGAAGATAAAAGGAGACGAGAAAGAGAAGAAATTTGATCAGAAGATACCTGGGAACACCGTCCATTACAATGTCTGCCTTAGGAAGCAAGAGGAAGGCTCTCCCTGTCATTCTTTTACTATGAAAATCACTGGACTCCAATTGAGAAGGTTTACTCTGTTTCTTTTTTTTCCTATCACATTTACATATCTCTTTTTATACTCTCTCTCTCTCTTCTCTCATTTCATGACGTTTGTCCATCATAGATTTGATACAAGCTATGCTTTGCTTCGCATACTACTCAACAATACTTCCCCAGACTTGTCTCCCCCTCTCTCTCCTCCCTCTTCTCCTCTCTTCACGCTACCTCTCGTCAAACTCTGGCCCAAGCTAATAGCAGCAGCCTGTGAGCTGACAGGAGAGCAAAGGCTCAAAGTGGTCGGGCTTTTATTGCAGTTTCTGCATCTCAGCTCATCAGGTAGTGTCCCTGAGCATAGACTGGATCTAACACTCTTGAAGCCGTTGTGGTCACTGTATACATCAATCACTAAACAAGAAGGTGGGGAGTGGAAGAGTTGCTGAGAAAATAAAAAGACAGAGAGAGAGAGGGGGAGAGGCTAAGAAAGAGAGATGAATTTGCATTTATATTGTATTTGTTTTTTTTCTTCAGATAAACCTGAGAAAGCGGGCTCACTAAAGCCTGAGATTACAAGAGGACTGACAGAGCTCTTCCTGATTGTGGAGAACCTAGCACAGAAATGGGACATGGAGCAAGACCTTATGCTAGAGACAGTGTCAGAGGATAGCATATTGAAGTGGTTTGAAAAGGTATGCATTATGTAAAATAATAAGTTTAAATGTAATCTCTCTCTTTCCAAGGGTGTATCCAACATCGCTTACCTCAGTTTGGGCTTAGGATTGACAAATACGGTATCTGATGCTTTTGTAGAAGCTAAAGTGAGTGATGGACTTTGTGGACGTATTTGATCATTATTATTATTATCATCATTATTATCATTATCATTATTATTGTTATTTTAGAAAAATTATGTCCCTCCTCCTCCACCCGCTCCCCTACAGTCTGATCAAAGGTAATGCAGACAGTTTAAGATTAAACAAACATGAGGTCATAATATTAGTTTGTAATAGTACATATATTCTTGGTAATAGTAATTGTGATAGAAAGTTATGAGCTTGCTTGATGGACTCCACTACTTTTATTATTGGTAGGTCGGGTTCACCAGATACATCTGATGATGAAGATGAAGATGAAGATGAGGACTATTCTTCATCGAGCAGCAGTAGCAATAGTAGTAGTGACTCAAGCTTTGAGAGTGAATAAACAAATATTAGCTATTATTATTATTATTATTATATTTAACGGTGATTATATTGACACTCTATTGTGCAGTTATAGCCTATTGTTATTATTATTAACTATTATATTTAGCACTATAATTTTTGATTAAATCTTTATTTCAAATTTTAAACTATTATAAACTTAAAAAAAAGCCATCATACAATACTGATCTTACATAGCCACGAAGGCTAAAATTTTAAAAGTATTTGGCACATTGAAGTGTAAACAAAGTGTATTATATTTCGGGATAATAATTAATGTATTATATTTCAAGCTATAATTACAATCACTCAGACTCTATTACTATATACTGATAACTGAGTTCCCATGCAGTGAACACACTAAATATTGCTTTTTAGCATCTATCAAAAAAATGATAAAATATATCTACTTAATCTCTTGTGTGTAAGTAATTAAGTACTTAATAATTGTATTTTTTAAGTTGGATTCAGAGCCAGATTAATACTCATCATGACAACACTGATGACAGACCATCCAAGAACAACAACAACAAACACCATATTACTCAATGGAGCCTTGTACGGATTATCATAGGTACCCAGTGCTTTCTTTATCTTGTATCTTGCAGCTATAACAAAGGCAGCAGGCATGACGCACTGTATAAAAATACCAGGGAAGGCTCCGGTAATTGACCCAATTAGTTCGATATCCTGCGAAACGTACGAGATTATGAGTGGAGGAACAATAGCTAGGAGTGGAAATAAAAGACGATCCACAACGACTGGGATTTTGACGTCTTTCTTTGTAATCCCTTTTATGGTGAATAAGGTAGCAGCTTTTATGTTTTTCCTGAGTATTATTGCACCAACTGGGAATGCACTGCAAAGTGTTAGGATGGGCAGGAGAACTAGGACACTTCCTATAGCTAGTCTCCAGTCAAAAGAACCACTGGCCTCTGGCTTAAAGAAGGTAAGTATGTTAAGCACTTCTATTTCATCTCCAGGGAAAGCAAAAAGAGTGACATATATCATTGCTAGTTGGACAAACAACGCACCAACAAAGTCAATAAAAATGTTTCGGTATATTCCACGTTTCGAAGACATTGGTGCAACCAAACCGGGAATGTAGTCTTGTATTTTGTATGTGTAGATTATAGAGCCGTATAATACTGGTAGAGATTTGACATTAGCTAGTTTGGGCATGTAGACATGTCCTTCTACGAATCGAAGGATCGAAAGTGATATCATCAATGCAAAGCCTATGAATTAAAGGTATGAAATGAACATAGTTTAATTTCACTGACTCACTTAACAGTCTTGCAAGTACTGTCAAAACTTGCAAAAATTTTGAAGAGGATACGTTAAAAAAAACCAATGGGCCAACAATTAGTGTAAAAATTGCCTTTAGTAGATGTAAATAATGTAAAACAATTTATACCAATCTTACCACATAAACATAATAGAGGTTTGCTTTGGTAAAGTCCAGGAAACAGCCATCAAGTGCTTTATCGGTGAAGTTTAAAGTGTCATTAATATCAAACCAAGATTCATTATTGAGATCATCAATAATAAAATAATGATTATGTATTAAACTAATAATAAAATTATAATAATAACACATTGTTTTTATTACTCGTTTTACCATGTCATGTGAGAGAGGGAAGTGGCAATGAAAACATTAACGAATGCCAAATCACCGTATAAGGCAAGACAAATGAATATGTATTGTAATATGACTCCAGCTATAAACAACAGGACTTGCTAGTTAATAAAACTTGCATGGTAACTTACGGACTGGAAAAAACAACTTTGCAATCATGCTCTATAAACAAATTATGTAATAATAGTAATATTAAGAGATAGTAATCGTGATATCAGCTTACATATTCAAATTTCTTTGGAATTTCGTAGTCTTCTGCTTTACAAGTAATAGCAGGACCTATAGATGGCTTATTATCACTATTCCAGGTATTGATGAACTACTTGGCTTTTCTTTATTCTCATCGACAGAGCTTGTTGATGTCTCTGTTGTTTTGTTGTCAGAAACTACTTCTTTTAACTTTTTTATTTGCACCTGTCCTCAAAAGATCATTTTTGGGTAAAAGCAAGTTCTAGTACCTTCTCGTCCTGTATCTTTTGGTATGCACTAGTAGCAGCTGCAGCTTCAATTATGTAACAAGTTGTAGTGTAACTGCAATAAAGATAGATATAATCATATAGTGTAGTTCTTGCACTCTTGGGTGCATGTAGTGGTAACGGCATACAATATGCATTATGATGATTATGACTACTGCCTTATTAGGGTCTGTTCGCTAGATTTTAACACTCCAGATTGTAGCCAAATTCCGCCATTATCACACCCCTTAACCATTATCCCTTAACTTACCCCAAAAAGCACAATAAAGTGAGGAGGACAGTGCCAAGGGCAATCCCGGCGTCACTGAACATCTTTGGTAAAGCTAAGACTATAGCACCAAGAAGCAGATTGAATACATAAATAGAGCCGATCTGTGTGTGTAAAAATACTATATATATACCAGTCTAAATGCTTTCTGCCTCACTGTTTTTGAATAGGATGCCATTGCTTTAAGCGTCGAAGGAGTCTAGAACAAGAGATACGCGCTAAGTTGCTTTTATCACACCCGCTGTTTCCCATCTTGATCTAGAACAAAAGACCAGTTTAAGCATGGGTTAAGCAAGTCTTTCAGACTAGTTTCACTAATTCCAGCGAAGGAATCTTCACTTCATGTCGTCAAACAAGTTAAACTTGATTGTCAAATTGAACCTATCTCTTAGACACGTGCTACCACGTGGGTGGACTGTTTCCAGCCCCACCTTTTATTCAACCATCGATATACTGAGTTAAATTACCATAGATGGCTACATATTCGCGCAAAGTTAGAAGTCTTTTTGAATAATTATACCTTTCCCACTTTACAGGTTGGATTTGTGTACATATTTAATCTGCTTATTGGTGCTGGGGCCCTTGCTTTACCAAAGACCTTCAGTGATACCGGGATTGCTTTAGGAACTGTTTTCATCACTCTTCTATGCACTCTGAGGTAATGCAATATAAAACAATGAGAATGAAACTATCTGTTGCAGTTACATCACAGCTTGCTATGTGATAGAAGCTATGGCTGCTGCCAACGCATATGAAAGAATAATGGAGAGAAAAGTGCATGTTGTTTTGCATGAATTTATGCTCTTATGACATTTCAGTGCTCAATGGAAGCTATGGCAAGACATGACAGTGAGTCTAAGCAAAATGGAATAACAATGGATCCTTCTGAGGCTGAGAAGCAAGAAGTGACAAGTAATCAGCTAAAATTGAATTTTATGATTGAATTAATGATGTTATAATCACAGTTTATATTGATCAAAAGGACTACGAGATTACAAAGAAATTTGAATATGTAAGTTATTGATCAAAAATTAGCGCTTTATCATCGACCATTTACACTGACATAAACACATATCTATAGGGTTCAATGGCAAACTTGTTTTTTCATATTTGTAAGTTTGGTTTGCTGCAGTGTTCAGTGCATATATAATGTATAATTTTTTAGCTGGAATCATACTAGCATATTTAGTCTTTTGCATTATGTCTTATGGTGATGTGTCATACTTTAACATTGCAATTGCTACATCACTGTCCCATGTGACATGGTATGTTCATGCATTCTATTTTTGCTATTATGGAAACTGATACTTGATTACTTGCAGTATAAGCTTAACTAAAAATAAATTAATAATTTTTTAATTTCCTGTTCTTGTTCACACTTTAAGGTGTAAACAAGGTATCAAAAAAGACCACTTGTACTTATTGTATATTATAGTCAGCTCCAAAGGCATCATCAACTTAGACTTAGTTTGATTTCAAATGATACTTTGTTTGGTGATAATGAAACATGGTTTGCTGATCAAGAATCAAGAAATGATTGTTTTACAAACTTTGGTAGTATAAAAGTTTATTATATTTGCCTTGTAAGTCACTTTAATTTAGTAACATTATAGTCCATTCCTATATTTTCTAGGCCATTATAGCCTTCACATTGGGTCCATTTGTATTCTTTGATATAACTTCTTCAAAATTTATACAAATTCTAACAACAGTAGCAAGATACATAGGTATATAAAGCACATTATTTGTCCACTCTTTATACAATGTGTTCAATCTTAGGATTTGGATTAATGACAATTTTAGTAATACTAAGATTCATAGAAGGCCATCGCTACATGCCTCAAGTAGCTAATGTAAAATCGTTGCCCTTCTTGTATGGAATTGCACTCTATTCTGCAAAAATTCAAGATTTCATTCCTGGAATTATAATGCCCATGTCTTCCAAGGAGCACATTTATCGTATCTTGTTGGGAGACTTTGTGACATGCTGGCTTTTCTACCTCTTCCTTTCATACGCAAGTGTATTTGCATTCCCAGGAGATGAGATTGAGCCACTGTATACTCTTAACTTCTTTCAGCCAGCCACCAGTGGTTCCATTGATTGGAGACTAGTACTAGGAACAATGCTAGCACTGCTACCAGTCATTTCACTGGTCAGCATATACCCAGTGCTTACTGTAACACTGAGAGAAAATCTCAAGTCGCTTTCTAAAATTATCCTTGAGTGTCGACTCAAGAGGAAGGTCAAATTTCCTGTTATTGTGGATCGTTTCTTGTTTCCCCCTCTTGTTTTCATTCCTCCATTAATAGTAGCATACATTACACAGGACATTGAGCTCTTAGCATCAATCACTGGATCATTCCCTGGCATTACAATACAGTGTGTCATGCCTGCTGCCTTTGTTATAGCTGCAAGATACAAGATAAAGAAAGCACTGGGTACCTATGATAATCCGTACAAGGCTCCATTGAGTAATATGGTGTTTGTCGTTGTTGTTCTTGGATGGTCTGTCATCAGTGTTGTCATGATGAGCATTAACTTGATTTTGAACCCACCAGAGTAATTTTGGGGAAATTTAAGTATCGATATTTTTGTTTGACAAGAACTTTTAGTTTTAATACAGAAATAATTAAATCTCATGATGACAATAATAATAATCCACAGTAGTAGATCAAAAATTATCAACATTTTCTTGTATCTCATGAGACATAAATTAAAACAACAACAAAAGAACAACAAGTAATAATAATAATAATAATAATAATAATAATAATAATAATAATAATAATAATAATAATAATAATGATAACAATAGTAATAATGCAAAAACTATAATCATAAAAGCCAACAATTTTTAAACAGCAGGGCTAATATAAAGTCTACACAATCTGACAGAGATTGAAAAGGTTTTTAAAAATCATAATTACAGCGTTGAAAAAGCGAGTGTGTCTGAGCTAATTGTGCAGCAAAGTCTGCAACATGTGTGTGTGTGTGTGATGCTAACTGCTTCTCAGTAGAAAGGAGATGCCTCAGGTACGCTTGACTTTGATGTCGGTGATGTCTCAAGCGAACGGGTGCCTCCACGAAGAGAGTTAGTTGGACCTAGTGAAGAGACTGGTGCGGTGGATTCACCCATTATGTCTACTGTAGGTTTGATCTCTTCCCACAATTTATAAAACTGGGAAAAAAGAGAGAATGAGAGAGAGAGAGAGAGAGAGAAGTAAAATGAGTATAATTGTTTGATACTCTTACTGTTTGGTGGTTGGACATTTGATTAGAGACTAATGCCTTTAACATATCTGGTATCTGTGACAGATTAACGTGAATCAACTGAGCCTCAAGATCAAGACAAAACAAAGAAAAAAAGTTTCGTCTTTCAACAATAATCAACTCGTCGTCATACTGTTAAAATAATTAATTATAAAGCAGTAGCTTTTTTATTTTTCCCCTACTTTTTGTTGCTTGCTATCTTGCCTCTCCGACTATAAAATAAAAATAACAACATTAATAGTGATAATAAATAAATAAATATCACTTACCATTACTTTTCCTTGAGCCTCCAAGTGACCCTTATACTTTTCCATCGTTTGAACTTTAGCCAGTGCCTTTTGGTGCTTGCGATGGACTAGTTTCTCTCGTCGTGTGCATAAATCCTAAAATAAACAACAAATTAACACAAGATCCTCTCCCTTTGTTCTCTTACCTGATAAGCTTTAAGGAGGTCAAGGAATAAGTGAGCTCCTTCAGCAAATCCTTTAGCTTCATTCTCTGCCTGAGTCAGTGCCCTGTCCCCGAGTGTGCTGAACTGATCAGAGAGCTGACGACAGTCGGACTGCATCTTCCCCCAAGTATTGTCACTACCTGAAGTCCATGGGGTGCTCAATACTGATTCACTACTTAACGAACTAAAGAGAGAAATAGAAATGACTCTAAAAAGTTAAGAGTTTTCAAGCTATAAAATTTGGTGAGCCTATGCTTTTTTTTCTACACCTATTTTTACTGCATTTTGTGATCAGTGAATGACTCTCCTTTATGGCTAGTTGTCAATCACTTACAGGAGTTCTCTTGAAAATGCTTTCATGTCTTCATGAAATGCTCGTGTCCTTCCTTCAAAGTTTTCCCCAATGTTTAGGAAAGCCGTCATTATCTTTAACATCATGCTCAACTGCTCTTTGACCCTCTCGTATTTCATCCTTGTCTGATCTGTAACCAGCTCCTAACAGAAAGAGAGAAGAAGAATCCTTTTATTGTACAGTAGGATACACTAACTCTTGCGTTCTGAGCTAAAGGGTTGAACATAACTTCATCAGGACTGTCCTTATACTTTTCCTTGATCCTTGCCCCCACGTCCTGTTAAGTCACATGACAGCATGTAGCACAATGGATACATGTATTTACCTGTCCACTGGCCGTAAAGAAATACCTTACTACTTCATCTTGGAGTAGTACTGGATGACGAGCGATTAAGCAAAGGTAACGACGGAGTGCTCTTCTTCTTTGCTCAATAAATTCGCTGCTTTGAGCTACGGAATAAAATGATATTTTTAATTCTTGCATGCTGCAGTGTATAAATAACCATATAGAGAGTCACGAGCATTTCAAAATGAGCTGATTTTTGAAAAAAGCAAAGGCCATGGTCTTTTTTCAAAAAATGGCTAAAAAATTACTCCAAATTTTTATTAGATTTTTTGATACATATTGATGTCTTTAAGCTATGTAGCAAGTTTGAGCTGTTTCTGACAAATTATTTTTGAGTTATGGCCATTTTTAAAAATTGGCCAATTTTTGAAAAATACCCAAGGGTATAGCCCATGGTTTTTTCCGAAAAATGGCTCCAAAATCACCCCAAAATTTTATTACATTTTCTGATACATATCAATGTCCTTATGCTATGTAGAAAGTTTGAGCTGATTCCGACAAATATTTTTCTAGTTATGGCCATTTTTAAAAATTGGCCAATTTTTGAAAAAATACTCAAGGCTATAGCCCATGGTTTTTTCTGAAAAATGGCTCCGAAATCACCCCAAATTTTTATTACGTTTTCTGATACATATAGATGTCCTTATGCTATGTAGGAAGTTTGAGCTGATTCCGACAAATATTTTTCGAGTTATGGCCATTTTTAAAAATTGGCCAATTTTTGAAAAAAAGCAAAAGCTATAGCCCATGATTTTTTCCAAAAAAGTGCTCCAAAATCACCCCAATTTTTTGTTACATTTTCTGATGCATATTGTTGTAATAATACACAAGTTTCCTAGTATTAAACTTACAGATTGCTTTTGGTGGTAGATTAGGCACCAGTCGAAAGGGGAACCGCTGAGAGAGGATATGATGGAAACCCTCAAAATCTTTATAGCGACGCGAGACAGAAGAACCAAATTTCTATTAAAAATTAAAAGAAATTAATCATTATGCATGTAGACAGTTTTATCCTAATTCAAACCCTGTTGTATTACATCTTAAGCCCAATCCAATGGCAAAATATAATTTTGTATTTTCAATGCATGAGTATTGTTAGCTTACCTTGCTCTCAACAGTATACTCATTGTGCTTCAGTAAAGCTCCTTTCTTTTCCGGTATCAGTGTGACCTTTATCTCATCAAAACCTTTGAGATCCTCATACGTGTAGCCAAGCTCTGAGGGATTAGTCGCACGAACGAAACGAGCTTTGATGTCCTTCAACTCATTGACACTGGCAAGAGATGGTGAGGGGAGCTCTACAATAATAATAATAATAATAATAATAATAATAATAGTGATAATAATAATAATAATAATAATAATAATAATAATAATAAGGTTAATATAGCACTAACATAGAAACATAATGACAACAATACACTTTGTTTACAGTGCTGTTGTAGCCAGCATGCTTGTATGAATCAAGTTATCTTGTTCATTGTTATTCATGACAATCAAACTACCTACTTGCTGCTAGCATTACTAAAGGCTAGACTCTATTTGTTGGTCAAGTACGTGTAGGCTACTATGCAGTTACAAGTTAAAAACAGTCTACCAGGAGGTAGCTACTGTAGTCTGGTGTACAAGTGACTAGTTATTATAACAATGACATCTGTTACTGAGAGAGGCAGAGGAGGGAAGGAGCATAGACTGCCTTACATTGATTTGTTATGTCTAATAAGTTATTGCCTATACCTACCAACTGTATAATAACACTTTCTATGGCAATGATAATGATGCATTATATACATATGTAGGTTGATTCTCTTTCTTTGTTTTGCTTTCTAATAGTTCCTAGTTTATTATAACATTCTCATAGACTAATAATACCACATTAAGTAAGCTCATTCTTTCTCTCCCGTGCTACCTCACTCACAAACCTTTGTTTTTATAACAGGAATGACAACCAGTCCCTTAACTAATTTATAAACTAAAAACTATTGTATCAACCTTTAGCATTTCCTTATAAAAATATCAACAGAAAGAGACACAATGTGTACAATGCTGCAAAGCATTCACAACACATTTATATATACACAGGAAATCTCTCTGAATATATGTTGTAGAGTACTACTACTGCAAACCTACCTTTATCAGTATAATTGAGTAGCACTTTGTCCTCAAGAGGTTTGCCTAGTTGTGCTAAAGCTGTCAGTGCCAAAGACTTGTAGAATTGATCCCGTCCTATCATGTTGGTCAAACCAGGATCACACATCTTCCATATCTGGAGAGAGAGGGGGAGAGATGGAGGGGGAGAGAGGGAGGAGGAGAGAGATGGAGAAGATGAATGAATCAGAAAAAGAAAAGGAAAGGGCATAATTCATTTTCAAAATAGCTGCAAATCTGAAACTAACACACTACAGTATACTGAATGTAGTGGAGTGAGTGGATCATTACAAACACATGAATAATAAACAATAAATCTACACACAAGAGATGTGTGAATCAGAGGATTTACCTCAGTAGCAGAGCTCTCTGTTATATTAGCAGTGGAGATCACCTTCAGCCATAAAGACTTAGGTATCTTGCTGCTATTGCTCACTGTCACCGCATCAAATACTTCCCTGTATAGCTGGGGAACTTGTCCTGGGGAGAAAAGAGGAGGAGGAGGGGGAGAAGGATTATAAAACACAAAAGCGTTATTGGCCATGCTTTAGGAGTCTTTTTATCATTCCTTCGCTCCTGCTGGAGCTCAAATACTCCTTAATATAGCCAGACAGAGGGGTGGTCTTACCTGTACTGAGTCCAGCCATGTTTGGTACAAGAACTTTGTTGACAAAATAAAGAAGGCGTGGCTAGTTTGGGGAAAAATAATGAAGGGCGTGGCTGGAATGCAGAAAAAGAGGTGGAGCTCATTTTGCATAATTATTGTTGGAGGTGTGGCTAAGAAATCACCTCATCTCACAATGGAGCCTCCTAACATTGTCGGAGAGACATCAAAAACTCACTCGAAAAACATGATGGGCCCTTTCCACTGGGTCTTCCTTTCCGTATTACTCCTGACAGTGTTCTGGGTAGTACTCAAGCTCTTCAGAAGACGCCGGGCACTTTTATTTGTCCTCAAACACGACCTGACACGGAGCCATCGCTGGCTGGCCTCGGATTTCCTCGACAAGCCGACCTATTGTAACTCCTGCATGCAGTGCTGTGCCTCTGGGAGCCTCTGTGAGGTCTGCGGGCTCTGCGTCTGCCCAGAAGAGGCTTGCTTACAATCAGTGGCAACTTCAAGCAAGACCTGCAAACCACTCTCGACCCAACCAGGAGAAAAGACCATGAGACACGCATGGATACGGGGCAACCTCCCTTTAGCCAGCAGATGCTTCAAGTGCCTCACTCCGTGTGGAACCGTCCCTGCTCTGGCTGACTATCGGTGTCTCTGGTGTCACAATACAGTTCACGAGGACTGTATCGACGAAGAGAAGGGAGAAGGAAGGAGAGAGAGAGGCGACTGTACTCTTGGTGACCACAAGAGACTGATCATTCCGCCTAATTGTGTGACGCTGGAGGAGAAGCAGGGATGGAGGAGAGGGAGGAGTAAGGTGGTCGTCAAAGAGATAGCAGTCCCAAATACCGACGGATGGAAACCGCTGATTGTAATGGCCAATTCTAAAAGTGGTGGGAAAGACGGGCAAGCAATAATGATACAATTAAAAAGACTCCTCAATCCAATCCAGGTAAGAAAGAGAATGTGCATTGTAAAGGGGTACAGTGATTTTCCTTAAACTTGCATGATAGAGAAGCAGAGATGTGTTATGAACATGCTCTGTTGTGGTCAGTATTAAGTAGGTGCATTCATTTTATTCCTGACCACAAGAGAGCATGTGTATAACACATTTCTGCTTGCCTATCATGTAAGTTTAAGGAAAATCACTGTAGAAAGATGGAATATAAGAATAATATTTTGATAATTAAGAGTGATTATGACTTACTCACACCTCTCCTCATTGACTAGTTACCCACAGTCTGTTTGAGGGGGCATGACTGTAGCAATTACTTGTAGTAACAATGTCCAATCTATAGAAATTAGCACTCACCCTCCCTCTCTCTCTCTCTCTCGTCTTTCCACAGGTGGTAGATTTACTCGAGACACCGCCAGAAAGTGCTCTAGAAATATGTCGACTTATACCAGAGCAGCCGACTAGACTGATGGTCTGTGGAGGGGATGGTACCGTAGGCTGGGTCCTGTCAGCCATTGATAAAGCAAACCTACCAGTAAGAACAATAGCAGTCAATTCACATACTATACTGCATTCAATATACTGTATTCACATACTATTATTATAATATACTGAATTTCATATGTACTGCATTTGATGCTATGTACAATCCTCATTATTCTTAGGTTAAGCCTTGTGTTGGTATCCTCCCCCTGGGTACTGGTAATGATCTGGCAAGGGTTCTAGGATGGGGTCCAGGGTATTCACCTGATGATGACGTGTCTGAAGTTTTAAGAGAAATGGAACACGCCCAACAGACACTAATGGATCGGTGAGTAGGATGAACAATTAATTACTTATTAATTAAGTTTTGAGCTGTTAGTTTTTCTTGCATTTTGTGGTTTTCAGTTGCAAAATGATTTAATTATTAGAAGCATCACAAGTCACACACAACATTCCTTCCTTTCATCTCCTTGTAGTTGGAAAGTCGTCATAGAATCTCAAAAGAGGAAGTACCTTGGACTTCAAAGAGACGCAAAGGTATGTCACATGTTAGTCACATGACGGGAGGATAAATTGACTATAGGTACTCACCATGAATAATTATTTGGGTATTGGCTGTGATGCTGGAGTAGCATTGAACTTCCACAGGCACAGAGAGAGTCGTCCTGACCTCTTCACTAGTAGATTAATAAATAAAGTTAGTAACACATATAACTTGATCAATTTGATTATAAATTATTATTATAATTACTGGAAAATGCTATAGTACTTGGGCCTTCAATGTAACTGCTTGCCTGTTAATTCCAATATTATATAATATCCTTAGTTGAAATCTTTAACTCTAATATCTATTGCAAATACTATTGAAGTATTGTTACTAACATTGATCATTTAATCTTGATAGTTCAAGAATTTTTTCATTGCCTTTAGTTCAATGTTGCTGTATATTTGTAGGCTTGGTATCTTGGCTTTGGTGCTAGGGACGTCATTGAGCAAAGCTGTAAAAACTTACCCAATAAAATCGAAGTAACTATAATAATAATTTGCTGCATTTCATTTAATACATATTATTTCTTTAACAGCTTTATATAGACGATGTACCAGTCAAACTGCCTGACCTTGAAGGTATCGTAATACTAAATATAAACAGCTGGTCTTCCGGTTGCTCTGTATGGAGTCCCAGTGATGAATGGGGCCCATCAAGGTATGTCACATGACAGTCACATGATGTACTAGTAATATTATGCACTGTAGGATTGATGATAAAATGGTTGAGCTGGTTGGACTGTATTCTTCATTTCATATTGGGAAGATACAAATGTCAGTGGCCGAGCCTTTAAAAATAGGACAAGCAAAAAGTGTCAAGGTACAAGCAACTACCTTAATTTCTATAATGTCATTATTATTATTATTATTATCATTATTATTATTATTATTATTATTATTATTATCACCAGAACAAACAACAAATGTAAAAATATAAAATAGAATAGGTTAAGTTATTTTATATAGAGAAGGAGAGTAGGAGTTATTATTATTATTATTATTATAATTATTATAATTATTAGGTTGTTTTGAAAGAGAGCGTCCCCATTCAAGTTGATGGCGAGCCTTGGCAGCAGAGCCCATCAGTTATTAGTATCAATCATAATGGACAGGCCAATATGTTGAAAAAAGTTTCTTCCTAAAATGTGTTTTTTAAAATTTCTTTTAATGTCATCTCCCCTCCATGTACTCTCTCTCTCTCTCCTCCTGTATCCTTTTATCATTGTCTCTCGATAAAAATTTTAACAAATTATTTCAGTTTAATAATCAATAATAATAATAATAATAATAATAATAATAATAATAATAATAATAATGCACAAGTTGATATAAAAAATTCAATAGAAATGAAAAAAAAAATAAATAGTAACGTCCAATTGTGATTATTACCATCATACAATAGTAATAATTTTTACTATAAAATTAATGCAACCGCTTAAATAAAATAACACCAACAAATAATGAAAACTATCATAATAATAATATATTCACACGGTAGTGGGTGGGTGTGGTTACAACGTCATAGGTCGACCTGCCAAAAGCTCATTATTGGAAAATGCATTTGTCTCTCGTGTCTCTCAGTCCGTCTCAGAGGAGCCTCAACGATACCTTGATCAATATAAGCAGGCGCTACTTCAATCCTTGATTTATAAGAAAAAAGAAAAAATGATAAAACTACAAGTCTACATTCATGTACATGTACACATGGGCAACTGAAGAATTATTTTACACTTTTTGATTCGTATTGATGCCCTTTGGCCATGTAGAAAGTGCAGTTAGATCTATGTTAATTTAACACTGATGGCCCTATGGCTTATGCTACACTGTGTATAAAGTTTTGAGCCAATTCTAACTGCATTTTTTTTATCGTGAGCATCTTAAAATTGCAATTATTTTCGACATTGCTAAATTTTTCGTGAATTTCATGACGCCCATCTCTTCTTACCTGATTACATTCTCAGTGATACTAGCAACATCTCCATCAATGATAACTGATAGTGGCTTGTCCTTTGCTTCAATTTGTAGCTCATACACATGATACTGAGTCTCTTCATTGGCACGATACTATACAACACATAAAAATAAGTAAAAAGTAATCTCTATAATTATGCAAGGCAGTCTTGCATAATTTTGTAGGGCAGTCATGTATAAATTTTGTAGTTTTTCTCATACTTTAGTTTGCGATAGTCTTCCACCTTCAGCTTGACATTTGATCAATGAGAGCTCCAGACACTCATTCTCTATAAATAAAATTAATTTTTAAAAATCAAAAAATATCGTTCTCCTTTCTCCCTCCTATACCTGGATTGGACACAATGGTATCGCTTGGATGTGGTATATTGCAACCACTAATGATCCATACGTCTTTATGCTGGGTGAGTTCACCTCTAATAAAGTTGTTATCCAGTGAGAGCTCGGTCAGTACTAGACTAGTTTCAAACGGCTTAGCCTGTCTTTGACCTAATTCATTATAAAAGTAAAACAGAATAAAAGGAAATTAGAACTAGTTACCTTTCTTTCCACTTAGTCTCTGGACATCGAATCTATGGAACATAAACATTTCTCGGTGCTCGAATCCTTTGACTGATTTCTCTGATCTTAGCGTCAACTAAACACACATGAAAGGCAAGATGATAATGAACGTTGGCTAGTATGGATTCATGAATATGAGCTCACCTTCACTTTGAACATCTTTACTCTAATAGAATGAGAGGCTTCTCGTATGTAATGAGACGTTATATCAATTAGAATCTAAATAAGAACAATTGACAATATCTCATAATCATCATACAATACATGTACATGTATGTAGGGTTTTCCACAAGTGTGCAGCCTTTGTCAGTGAATTTTAAAATTTGCTCCAAAATCGGGTCAAAGTCCCTGTACTATAGTACAGGGTGTTGGGCCGAATTTCGCCAAAAATGGCAAGGTCAGAATTTTCCATTTTTATAACTTTTTCTGATGCGTATATATGTTTTTATGTTGTGTTTCAAGTTTCAGTTCATTCCAATCATAATTGGATTTTTCATGAATTTTAAAAGTTGCTCCATATGCCATTAGGCTAATTGTAAGCTCATCACGCTCATGCTTTTTAGCTCACTTAGCATGCCTTGTGGGAAACCCGACATGCGTGTACATAACAAACCATACATGTATCATCATATAGCGGTCATATTTTAAGGACATTGATAGTTCATAGCAGCTGTTTATATGCTTGCAGAAAATATTCTCACTCAGGCATGTCATTTTGATGCAATCGACGAAATTATTAGAATTTTTAAAATTAGCAAAAACTATCATCCGCAAAATACAAACGACTATTAATTATGGTACATAGCACAGCCTACCCTTGATGGAGTGGGAGGGGCAGACCATCTTGTATCCAAATTCTCAACTGAAGAGAAAGGTCTACTGATAGCTAAAGAATCCTATAATACAGCAATAGAGTAAAAATACAAGAATGAGAGTAGCATAATAAATATTATTTTGTCTTTGTCTTACATTGGGTAGTAATCTCATGACATTGTGTATAGCTAGCATCACATTCTGCTCGTACCAGCTGTCCATGTGTGAGAGATAGCGACCAATCAAAACGTCTCCACCAAGCTCAGGGCTCTTATTCTCATTAGCTGGTTCAGGAAGGTCAATGAGGCCGGTTGACGATCCTAAGCTAGTGCTGGCACTGGGGGCACTGCCAGATAGTCCAGAGCTGGCCTGTGATAGTGGCAGGTAATGAAACTCAATGTCTAGTCCCCAGAACAAGTTTGGCTCTTTACTCCGAAGTTGTGTGAAAGCTTTCGCCGCATTCGATAGCGTATCGTCGTCGCCAGCAATCACAAACTTAATTGTTCTTGATTTCCCCGGGGGTCCCGAGAGGAGAGCAGCGACCGGTTGTATTCTCCTGTTCTTTAGTCTCAGTGAATTGGAGGGATTGGCTCTTTGCTTGACTCTTAGGCTCCCCGTACCTGACACAGGCGATGTGGCTTGATTGGAATAAGACCCCATCTGTACTTTACCCAGTGTAGACCGACGAGCCGGCAGGTGGTGACCTCCAGACGAAGAAAAGTTCTCGGTGTGACGTCTCTCGAGAACCGGACGACTTCTGGGGCTGTCGGTAGAAAACCTACTGGTAGCCTCTTCACTGGTACGACTACTAGTGTCACTGGCATCATCTTGACTGTTGAAACCTTCAACATCACCGGGATGAGCCGGAGTGTGACTGGAGTGACGACGCACCTGTAGTACACTGACTCCAGGGTCACTCTTTGCAGCTGGTGATGTGGGACGGAGTGCAGACCCATTGGCTCTACTCTCTCCTCCCCCTCCATTCCATTGCTCACTAATTGACGTTAACTCAAATGAACTCCGTGGGCCAATGCCATTGGGTACTTCAGTAGCGGAAGAGGTTTCTAAGAGGGCTCCGCTACCAGTAGAATCAAGACTAGTCTGACTTAGAGCTGGTCTTTGGTAGGTGATAGAACCCATTGGATAACTAGCAAGGAGTGAAGAGGAGTCACTGTTACCAGGTGGAATCGGCCTCTCTTGCAGCCTGTTGAGGATTTCTCTCATTTTATCCATCATTGTTGCTAAGTTGACACTCTCCAGCTGATGGACTGGCATATATGGAGGAGGGAGAGGGAAAGAAGGAGGACAAGGATCCTCACTTGTTGAGCTAAAGGCACTGTCCCTCTGCTCATCTGATTCTACAAACAAAGAAACAATTTAAAATTAGCAAATTTTATCTTCACAGTGTCTCCTTCTCTCCTTCTCTCACCTTTTCCTTTTCCTTTTTCTCCCTCTCTCTCTTTCTCACCAATAGCTAGTGTTGACAGACTTTGAGACAATTTGCTAATCTCTGTCATGAGGAATTGATCTGCTTCCTGTATTGTTTCAAGCAAAGCTGCCTCTTCAGTAATGTCTACTCCCTCCTCACACAATTGGGTTAGTTGATCTTCACTTAGCCTCTACAGGAAAAGCAGCACACACATAACACACATGTAACACGTACGTGTACTTAATTAAAGAAATTAAGATATAGGTTATAGTACACCGGTAGTACAAATACATGTATATACATGGGGATATTCAGTACATGGAAATTGAATGCTTATGTATGCAATGATGCTGCTACTGTACATAACAATTGTGTACAATTACATTGTGTGTGTTTGTTTATTAGCAATAACACTAGCAATGGACAAATAGAGTTTAGAAAACCGACATAACAAAACTGTATCACTTTTGGTAAGTTTCAAAATCGCAAGAACAATCACACACGCCCGCCTAAAGGTAACTGTCTCTGGCTGCCTACCTTACAGACACAAACAATCATCCTACAACATATAGGCTATACACACATACAGTAAGTTACCGTATAGCAGGTGTATTTTCAAGGGTAAAATTTCTGTTTAGAACAAAGACTTTTGTTCTGTTTATTGAGGGTGTGAGATGACATTTTGTAAACATATGAAATAACTTTTTAAAGGAACAGATATTAGTCTAGTAAGGAATGAGCAACAGAGCAAGAAAAGGAGCCTGGGGGGGATATACCCACTATATGGTACAATCTGTTTTTACCAAGGGTAATCTTGTTTTTACATGAGTATAATCATGTTTATTATTGGACAGATGAGTAGGCACATTCATTTGAATGCTAATTAGATCAGAAATATGTACATGAACATGGACATAATAGAAATGAGTGTGTGTGTGTGTGTGTATACGTACAGATATCTTCTTGTCCAAATCAGTTAGGTCAATACTAGTATCAGGAGGAGCAGAGTGCAGTACGCTCCTCAGCAAGAGTTTCTTTATCAAAGATGAAGACGGTTTCTCTTGATGGTAGGTGAAGGACTGATAGAGATAATGACCAAGGGATGCAGGATGACTAGTATCCACTAGCACCACCACTGACTGACTCTTGGGTCTAGAGAATGAAAGTATGAGAATGAAATTAAAAAGAATGGATATAGAGTACAGAGTATGAAGAATTGAGACCACTTTGTGGCTGACCTGTTATGCTTTAGTTTTAAGCCTAAATCATGCTCCATCAGTAACCTCCGTCTGTATGATGAGCCTAAAAGAAGGAGAAAAGGAACATAAAACGTGCAGGCTCTTTCTTAAGCTTTTGCAAACAAAAGGGAGTAATGTTATTATTATGTTACGATATAAATTAAGCTTCTTTTGTTGTCTTCATGGTAATATGATTAGCTTCTAACCTTTGACTTTCTTCTCAATCCCAACCATGTTCAATATAGCCTTCACAGTGTCCGAATGAGATGAGGGCCACATGTAAAACGGCATCAGAGTCTGATACACTTTAATATAATCAACCTCTGAAGCCTGAGGGATGAGAGAGAGAAAGAGAGGGAGAAAGAGAAAGAGAGTGAGAGAGAGAGAAAGTGAGAGTGAGGGATGGTGGGAGGAAAACAAGGAAGAGAGGAAGAGAGATATGTTAGTAACTATGACACACACGAGAAGAGCAACACAAATGCATTTAGTACACAAAAATGAATAGCATTTACTTTTAAAACCACACGACACAAAAACACACAAAATATACAACTGCACACACACAGAGAGAGATGTACATTGCAGGCATAGCTAGTGTCTGTTAAATTAGCTTACAATCATAAGCAATTCTTTCAGTAACAGTATCAGAGGAAGGAGTAATTCCCTCTCACCATAATCCTGAGTGTGCGATATCTCCTATCAAGAGAGAGAGAAAGGGGAGAGTATAATATAGATAGATAAAACAAGTACAGTGTATAAAAGTGCAGGAGTTTTGTAAAAGGAAGATACTGTACTAGGGCTATAGTAAAGGATTTAAACTCACAGTGTGCAAGAGGAAGCAAATACGATTAAGAGCAACTGGTATCAGAATAGGATTCCTAGAGACGAGATCCTTTAATCTTATATAAGATAGACTAGTAGCAACTGTAGGGAGAGGGAGAACAATAATAGATAAAGGAAAAATAAAAATTTAATTAAAAATATTAATTTCATTCTTATGCAAAATTAATCCCACTATGCTTCTCTGTACATATATACTACATCCTTTCCAATGTTTCTTCACCTGAAGCATAGTTCAATAGTTTGCATACACCAGGGGGCAGGCTGCCAAAGAATGACCTATGGTGATGATTATAGCAATCATTTATTAATTCGTGAACAAGTTTCTCTTCCTCTTCGCTGGACGAGAAAAGAGAGGAACAAGGAGAGAGGGGAAGTGGATCACGGATTATGTCTTTTGAAGCTGCAACGGAAAAAGGCGTCATAACCTAAGATCAAAGAATATGAAGATAACTTTTTAAAGAGTTGCACTTACCGTGACTTCAAAAGGATCGGCTATCCCACTATTGTCAATGGTATAATTTCTAGCTGCAGTGTAAAGAGAGGGAGAGAGAGAGCACATGGTAATCACATGTCATGAACATGTACAGAGGGAGTGGGGAGATGAGAATTTGGCATGTGTCAACTACATGTACATTGCACATCAGCAATCAGCATGCACTGTATCAGTCATTAGTCACTGGTACTATTGGAATTTCTATGTATCATCAGATCAATGAATGACACTCAACATTGAGAGGGTAAGCTGAAGCCATTGATGACTGATATCAGAGACTAACAGAAGCTACAAGAAACAGACCACAATCACCACATGATGATGTATGGTAGCATTATTTCAACTATTAAAGTATAGTCCAATGTATAGCAGTGTACAATCATGATACACACACACACACACACACACGTATATGAGTTAGGTTTCTTTCTTACCGAGGTTCCAGCGTAAGTACATGTTCCTCAGTTGGAGACTCGGAGAGAAGCCGTAGAACTGCTTGAGAAAGTGTATCGTTGCGATAATTGCATGTTGGATGGACAGTAAAGGGAGGGAGTTAAGGACACAAACAATGATAATGGAAAATATCATGCCTTAAAATAACAATGGATTAGGAAATGAACATAGGAAATAATACAAGAAAACGATGCACATACAATACATGTACATCTACATGCAATGCATACATGTACATGCACCTAAAAAGCATTAGCTGTTTAGAATGGAATGGATGCCATTTGCCAAGCAAACAAACCACTAGCACAGAATTAACATAACATTAGCAGAGACTGTAAACATATGCATGTACCTAGAAGAAAAGGGAATCACTAAACCACAGGCACAAATACCACACACTATCTATACACATCATGTATGATACTGTACATAGCTTAGGGGAAAATAGAACATGACAAGATCATTTGTATAATACGCCATTTCATAATCATAACTAATTACTCATGTACATCAATTGGAGCATACCGCATAAAATTATACAACTATAATAAGCTCAATATCTCATTAAAGCAGTTAAGTACAGTAGCAACCACCCACAAAACATACAACTAATTCTGTATAATCCAGTTACTATTAGTACATAGGATTGGTCGATACTAAAGACATAACATTGGAAGCATTAATGGTCCCATTGGTAGAGTACACTATCAGTTGATGACTGTCACTATTTAACTGATCAGCTACTGACATCAAACACTACATACACTAACACATACCAGAAAGAGACACATACATGACACTTAATTCTAGTCAAGAGTAGGATATGTGCTTTTGCTTTCTCAGTTGATTGGAGAGACTTATCCTTGAGATTTGTCCATTGCCTATACTTGTTAATATCAACCTGCATCTCTATGATGTCCTTATAGACATCAGTGAGGGGCCTATGACCTGGATGATAAAGAAAAACAAAGTCACAATTAAAAGTATTTTTATATACACACATAAACAGGGAATGGATGTACAATTGTACACCATTAATTAATTTAGTACATATTTAATACAAGTGGGACAAAAATGGAAGCATTCCCGAACACCCAAAACAATCACCATGTAACCACAAGCTAAGATCCATGTAGTGTGTGAGTGTACTAAATGTATACACACACACACACACACGATGATGTAAGAAATTCTTTTTAGGTACAGCCAGACAGCAAGTTATTAAGAGTAAAGCCTCATAAGAGCACAGCAAACAATGAATTGAATAAAAAATGTCCTTAGCCAGAGAAAAGACTAGCAATAAAGGTAGCATTATCAGAGCCTTAATATAAATGTATGCCTTTTAAAAGAGGAGTCCTTATATTACTATTGAGAGAAACCTTCCTAGAAAGGTTGCATAGGTCTATTCACTGCAATAAGGTAGTAGCTCTGTCCTTAGGTTAGAGGGAGCAGTTTATAATGATGGATAAGGTGTTAGGGGCAGGTCTGTCTTGATTAGACTATATTGGTGAACACACCAGGCCAGCTGTGGAGTATTTGGTGACAAGAAATGGCCTCCTTGTGGCCACAAAGCTATGAAGTTTATAATACATACTTAATTAACAAGAGGAAAGTGAAGAGAGAGAGAGAGAGGGGGGGGGAAAGAGAAATAAGGAAATTAGAAAGAGATAAAGATAAGAACAAGAGTTGGGGATAAATCACAAAAGAAAGAGGAGGAGGCATAGCAAAGGAACTGTTTGCTTGTTATGTTCTTATAACGAGGGCATGCTCTCTAGTAAAATGCTTACTTAAAGAGCAAAAGCAACATTGTTGGGCATCTTATCAACAAGATCTCATTAGCTAAACAACTGTTATGCACAATTAGCAATACCCATACACACACACATATATACACATGCTTACTTTGTCCACTGTCTAGTGAAATGAGTTTAGCAATAAGACAAATGATGTAACTACAAAATGAAAGAGAGAGAGAGAGAGATCCAAATATGACACAGTAGTTTATTTATTAAATGATGACAAGGACAAGATGAGAACTGACATTATTACAAGCTAACATTATCAACACACCAGCTCATGAAGACAAAATGTCTCTCATAACTTCCCTTGCGGGCATTATACATTAATAAAAGTCGCATGTACACGTACATTTATAAAAGAATAATAACAACAACAATATTAAATTATTAACATGACATGTGAGAACGGGTCAGTTACAAAGCTACAAGCAAAGAGCAAAGCAAAGGGAAAACAAAATTATCGCATGTAGATAATTACACAAACACTATTAGCAAGTAGATGCAAGTGACACGTTTAACATACACTGCTGTATACATGACTGTATATGTACCTTGTTACTGCATCTTGACTGGTGGTTAGGTCTTTCCAGAGTTGCGTCTCTGTCTCAACTAATAGAGAAGAGGAGGAGGTACGATGAGCTGGAAGATGGTGAGCAGGAGAACCTGACACAGGACCATCAGGGCTGTCTGGTGGAGGAGAGAGAGAGTGGCGAGGGTGAGAAGAAGATGCTGGAGACCTGAGGAACCAGTCAATCTGCTTAGCATAGTTAAAGGACCGAGCGTCCACTTTAGCTATTGGCATTATGTGGAGGGTATTTGTAGCTAGTGAAGGAAGGCTGGAGAGACTAGGAGGGTCGATGGTGAAGCGTTTTTTGGTTTATTGTGACTGCAGACCCAGTTCCATTCAAGACTAGTCTGCTAGGATGTGGAGAAAGGAATGGAAGAGATGATAGGAAGAGGAGAGAGAGAGGGATAGAGAAACTGCAGCAGAGGTGAAGACTATCTCAAAATGACGGGGGTGTGGCTGGTCAGTCACGTGATTTATTATTAAAATAGGAGGGACAAAAGTTATTAATTGTTTCCGTAAACTAGACCTACAAAGTATACGGAGTAAGCTCACGTGATTATGATTGTGGGTGGGGCTGACCCACATGGCATGCATGCATGGCACAAGTAGGACAATTATGAAATTCTTTTTTAAAGTCCATTTTTACATTTTTGCTGTCCATTTTACATGTTGCATGCAACATGTCACATGCAAACAGTTTATAGATGAGTCATTTGAAACACACTGCATAAAATAGGAAACATTTCTAGCTACATATGCATAGTTTATTATCTGCATTGGTTTCATGCACACTAAATTAGAGTGATTTCATTAGGGCATTATAGTTCTATGCTATGTAAAACTTTCTAAGTTATGAAATAAGTAATGATATTAATCTTGCAGTGGGTAGTATGCCATAATTAGAGACATTGATGTATTTGTGAAATTGTAAACCTCACATCTCTGATCTGATCTTTAGTTATTATAACTCCTTTATAGTTCACTTTCATAAAGGAAATACAGCTTTGATAGGAGTATCATTACTATAGCTAGATCTATTCATTTGATTGCAGTTATTACACTCCTAATTTAATAAAATTTAGCCTAAATTGTCAGCAAAAATATACATTAACACTCTTAATTCATTGAAGGGTTCAACTCTTCATCAATAGCACTCTCTGGAGGAACTTCAAAATGAGTCTTTGCAGCTGTTGATGCAACAGTATCAGTAGTAAATACATCATTGATACTTTTGATTCTTTGTGTGACATCTACTAGCTGTCTACGCTTCTTAATAGTGCTCCTTCTTTTAGGATGCTCCAAAATGAATATGTGAACGATAAGAGAGACTCCGGCTAAGAGACCTATTAATGGCAGTGACACACCACTCCACATGAAACTTATAAAATTAGGACTTTGTGATATTGAGCCTACTAATCGATTGATAAATGCTGGTATGTAGAACATGAGAGAGAGTATTGGATAGCTTACGAGTGGTAGCATCTCACGCAAAACTTTCTTTTTTTGCTCAGTCAGTTGTTCTTTCAATAATGGTTGATTCTCATTATCGTCGTCATCATGAATTTTATTATTGCAGCAATTACAGTTATAAGCTCGGTGGACTAGTATCGCTGTTACTATCACTACAGCTACACCACATAGCAGGAGACAGAAAATAGCTGGCCCATATAGAAGAGTATACTGTTCAATTTCTCCTTGAGGTAGCTTCTTTAATGCATTGTCTCCTTTCCAGTTCTGTATCCAGCACCAAGCTCCAGCTAGACCATAAAGACCATTGACAAAAGGTACCCAAGTAAACAATGCAGGCCCAAGAGTAGACACCAATATGTAAACAATTTCAAGTCGATTTAAGTTAACATGAAAAACTGAGAAGCAGAACAAATGAAAAGTTAAACAAAATGTAAATAATAGCTTAATCCAGATGGAATACTCTATCAGAAATGCTTCAACAACACAAACAGGATAATAAACTGATTTTTTTGTATCATAATTAATGAATACTACCTCTAAGGCCAAAACTGCATCGTAAAGCATAGCTGATAGGACTTGGTAGATTGCCAGACGATGAACGAAGTATTTGTGTAGCTTAAATTTAACAGCCATGACCATAGCAATCAGGCATATAATAATTGAAATAATTGACAAAACGCACATTGTCAACAATATAATGTACTTTTGCTCAGAAGAAAGAAGCCCTGAATGAGTATGATTGGTTGTAGCGTTTTCTTCATCGAGCTCTTCCATTTTCACTGCTGTACTGCTGCGGTGCAGTTCAGAAGAAAGGCGTGGCCTGCAGGAAGCATAAACAATAACAAAATAGAAAAATAAAATAAAATAATTAAAAAATAATAATAATAATAATAATTAATTAATAAAAATAAAA